CGCCGCCACCCACGCCCTCCACCACGCACGCCACCCCCACCACAGTGAAGACCTCCACTCCAGTCCCATCCACGGCTCCGCCGCCAACCACTGTCACCACGACGGTTCCCTCGAGTACGCCGCCCACCACCACTCCCACGACTACAACCAACACCAGCACGCCCACTCCCGCTCCGTCGCACTCAACCACACCTGCGACCACCACCGTCGTGAGCTCCACGGGTAAGTGTCGCCCATCGCTCCCCTGCAGGCCACCCGTGGGACGTTGGCCAGGTGAACATCTAGGCATTGGCTGCGCACTCAGCCTTCAGGTGAGGGAGGTGCCTTGTCACCACATTGACAACAGGGGACCACAGGATACGGGGGGATGCCACCCTGCCTGCTGAGCATGCGGGCCCCTTCCCACGTGCTCCAGCACCTGCCCTGGCTGGCCACCCACACTGTATGTGCTGAGCGCTGTCTTTGTTCCAGCTGTTGCCTGGGTACCAGTTCTCCCTTTCTCTTCCCTTGGGTTTTACAATGACCACCAGGTCAACCTCTACTGCTCCAATCCTATGTCCTGCGCACCGCAATGTCAGGGAACCCCCTCCTACAGGAACCCCCAGCTCCTCGCACTATCTCATTAAACTGCATATGATATCACTGGTATGCCCACCCCCAGATTGTCTCCTGTCAATGTACCATAGTTAGGCCAGTCAATTAGAACAGTACTACCAGTTACATCCATTTCTCCACATTTCCAACTGGCAGACCTTCTTCCACAAGCACCTTGTCAACACCGTGTTCTACATCAGAACTTTTTCTACCAGTACCACTATTACAAGTAGTCCCCGATGTTGCTCTCTCCTAAGTGGCACCCTCTTAACCACACTCTTTCCAACTTCTGCACTTAGAAACATTTCTGTTACCTTCACCATCCAAACTCCCCCCACCACCACCAGTGGCTTGTTTGGATGAATTTCTTTCAATTACTAAGCTGTGAAAAGCATTTGTGGAGTTTCCACCCTGAGTTCCATTTGAGATCGAGGTGTATTCCTTGATCCACATTCCCACCAGAACGCTCCACAAGATTGGGTTTCCAGCAACTTTTGCTTCTAGCCTTTGTTTTCCTCCCTGCTTACTGAAACAAGTGTTTCTGTTTGCCTCAAAATTCACGTGCCAAAAGTTACCTTTCTGTCTTCCTATTTACTGGGTACCACTTTTCTTTTTTCTTCCCTTTGATTTTACTGCATTACCACTGTTAACGTCTACCATTACAATTTTAGCTTCCTCTGGTAAGGAGCAGTACTTTCAGAGGCAGCACTTGCAGAGTTTGCTTGCTATCCTTCAGTAGCTGTGTTATGAGAATCATCCTTGCAGTCTTACTAGGTACTGCAGAATGCACAGTTTCCAGAAAACACCTTGGCACCTATCTTTTCTCACCTACTAAAATTCCATTTTTAAATCTGGGAATATCATACCTTTACACAAAAGTTAATTCTTTTTGTAACATTTTAATTATTTATTCAAGGCATTTTTATACCATTCCTATTTAATCAGTGACTCTCAGGATAACTTAACAACGAATTAAAAATTTAAAGCATAAAATACACTGGTAGAATAGGGTTACACGATACAATCACAAGATAAAGCCAATTAAAATATCACATTAATAAACACTGTATATAATCAGGAATATGTTCTAATAGAAATAATTATAAAATTAATTAAATCAAAAGCATTTAATTACTTCTCCCAGCAGTTCCATTGTTGAAGAGTATGGGGGAAAGTATCGATCCTTGTGGCACTCCATGGCACAAAAGTCATGGTGCTGATCCCCAGCACCACCTTCTAGAAATGGCTGTCCAGGTAGGAGTGAACCACTGTAAAGGGATTGTCATCTACTCCCAACCAAGCCAGCCTCTCCAGAAGGATACCATGATTGATGGTATCAAAAGCTGCTGAGAGGTCCAGGAGAACCAACAGGGATGTGCTCCCCCTGTCTTTCTCCTGGCAAAGGTTATCATACAGGACAACGCAGGCTGTCTCCATGCCAAACTCAGACCTAGAGCCAGACTGGATTAAGATGGTCAGTTTCCTCCAAGAGTACCTGGAGCTGCTGTGCCACTGCCCATTCAAGGACCTTGCCCAAGAAGGAGGTGCTGGCCACAGGCCTGTAGTTGGTGACATCCTTCAGATCCAAGGTAGCCTTCTTTAGGAGGCGCCTGATCATCACCTCCTAACAATGCTCCTAAATCAGTTGTCTACGCTTTCTCTTCAACAATTAATTGGATTGTTACCTATTTCCCCATATTACTTGTCTTAGCTACCTACATCCTGCTGCAAAAGGACATTGAGTTCCCTAGTTCAATGATTTGGCATCCTTCTCAAACCTGGGTGCAAATGCTAACTGGCTGCTTCTTTGCCTGTTCACCTGAATCTTTTCTTTTTTATGACAGCAACACCAAAAATATCCAGTGAGGTTCCAAGACCAACTCTTACAGGTAAAGATTTAAATTACCCGGTTGGATCAAGTTTGATGATTTTTGTTCTTTCCATGTTTATTGTTTTGTCTGTGCAACACTTTGCCTGTGTTGCTTTTAATTTGCAGTCTCCACATCTCAACAAACACCAGAACCCAGCAGTATGCCAAAAACAACTGCAACCAGTTCGTTGTATACAACAACAAGGGCCACTGGATCAAGCATGCCCAGGACCAGTACTATCTCCACAGTCTCTGTATTTACCATCACAGCCTCCACAATTACACCGCAACCCGTAATCAAGGAGACAACTACCTCTACTGCCTTTCCCACCATATCTACTGCAACAAGCACACACACAATACATAGTACAACAGCACCACTAACCTCTCGTTCATCCACCTTGAAAACAACCCTTACAATACCTACTAGTTCAACCATGCCCAGAACAGCTACGTCCACTTCAACCAGTACTCCGGTAACGACACCAACCACCACAACCCGCAGCACTGCTACCCCTGCCACTACAGAAACGACCAAAACTCCAGCCACTAGAACTCCTGCAACTACAGCTACAAAAACCACCCGTGGTAAGCTTTGTTCATTGCCCTTCAAAGGCTTGCCCACTGACTATCATCCAGAGCCTCTGAAAATGCATCCAAATTTCATCTCCAGAGAGTACTTGCATTCCCACTTTGGCTCCATTATAGTGCAGCCACACTTAGGGGAATACCATCCTGCTAAGGAAGTTTTGGGGCGTCTCTTCATTTGTCAGAGTGGCATGTTTCTCAATTGAGAGTTCAACTGCTGCTTAGTTGGTTTCCTTTGCCCTTTCTCATGGTCATCTGTGCTACAGCAACCATCCCGAGTCTAACACCAAGGTGTACAGGTGAACACCTGCATCATAAGACTGGATAAAGTTTCCTTTGTCTTGACTTGCCTGCACAATCCTAACACTTGGATTTGCCCTATTTCTTTTTTCTCTTCTTTTTGTAGTCTCTACAGCTCCACCAATATCTACCAGCAGCAGTTCTCCAAAGACAACACCAACCAGTCCTCCATCCTCGACATCCAGAAGCACAGTAACAACACAGTCTAAGTGGACCGGCACACCCAGGACCACTCCTATAATCCCAACCATGACCACCCCAACCAGTACCTCCACTGTAACCAGTACAGCTAGCACATATACTCCAACAACCATAACAACCACCAAAATTTCTACAACCTCTTCGAACATAACCACCCCAGTTACTCCAACTGTGTCCTCAGTGGTTACTTCCATTTCTACCAATACGCCAACAAACACACCCACCACATTTTTCACAACTACTAGCCCTAGCACTACACTTATTATCAGTACTCCAACCATTCCTATCAGCACAGTTTCTACAGAGGCTACCAGTAGTCCTCCAATATCCTTACCTTCAAGCACTACTACCACCAATATCCCAATAACTACCTCGACCAGTTCCCTGACAGTTAGTACTGTGACTCTGGAGACTACCTCTGTATCACACACATCAAGTAAACCTACCGGTGAGTTTTCTGTTGATCTATTTCATCAAATAGGCACTACTTCATTTATTTTTGGTATGTTTGGTATGTTTTATTTATGTTTGGTATGTTTATGTTATGAAGCTCTGAACCTTTAAAATGAATATAGTTATTTCATCATAATATTTGAGTTATGTTCTATCACTTCTGGTTTTGCCTACCTTTTCCAACCGCAAATGGAATATGTTGCTACAGGAGTCTTGTGGGGCGGGGGTCCTACAGGAATCTTTGGGGCTACAGATCTTTGGTCTGAGAACCTTGGTGCTGAGACTCTGGAAGAACTGAGGACTTCTGTGCTGGGACTCTGAAAGCTGAGCTCCCACCTCACTCCCCTCACAGTCGGCACAGAAAGGACCACACTGGGAGCATCCTCTGCAGTCTCAAATGCATCTTGGAGGGGAATATGAGGGACATGTTGGCATGGAAATTGGGGTGCAAGTGCAATTTAGCAGAATATAGTAAATAACAGGATGACGTTAGGTGGACTCAGGATGAGACAGACAGTATTTTACTGAGGAGTGTTGGCTCTGTTTTTTAATCCATGTCTTGCTCCTATTTCTGCAGCTCCCATCCACAATACTACAGCAACAATTGTTCCAACCACCACAGGACCACCGAGTGAGTTGTTCTAAGTAAAATACACAGGCATGAGTGATTGGTTTCCTGAGGCTGCAGGCCTCTACACACTTAATTTGAAAGAAAGCCTTTTGAAACCAGCGGCACTTTCTTCCAAGTAAAACATGCATAGACCTGGGCTGCACAACAGATACAACAGATGCTTTTTGAGTTAAAAAGCTACCTATGCACATACGACAAAATGTTCTCATTATTCTTTCCTTGTTTAGATTTTCCTATTTATAACAGTGGAAAAAATGTAGTGCAGATAAACCCCATTTTGAATGTATTATCCCTCTAATTAATGGACCATGATCATTTGCATATGAATTTTTTTCTAAGTTGTGTTGCCCTTGATAAAGCAAACTAGTTCTGTGAGCAGAACTATATCCTGTATATTTCTGAAACCATTCTGTATGGCTGGTTCATGTTCTTGTTTTCCAAGATTATGCCAAATGATCTCAGTGTTGTTCAACATGAACTGCATGCATCTTTGGTGGATAGCTCAAATTAGTATTTATATATACCCAGTCAAATCCAATATTTACTAGACTTGTAAGCCTTCAGATTCTGATGGACTAGAACTCCCATCAGCACCATCCAACATGGCCAACAGTCAGGTTCATGAAATATACGGAAGGCCAACAGCTTCTCCACCTGTGGCTTAGAACAACTTAGGGCGCAATTGTACTGCTCCTGCCTGAGATGCAAGGTAGCCTCTGAACTCAGAGGCTTCTGAGCATCAAGTGGCTGAAGCAGTACAATTGGCAGTCTCTGGCAGTCTCTGCCACCAGCATGCCTCACAGTGTGCCTTTTCTCTATACAGCCATTTCAGGCTGTAGAGACAAAGGTCCAGGCAGGGGCAAGGAAGGAGGCTGGGACACAAATAGGAATCCTGTAGGTATACAGCCCTAGCCACATCCTCCCCTCCCCTCCCCTCCCCTCCCCTCCCACTAGCATTTTCTTGCCCCACTCTCTGCAGCACATTTCCATGTCCAGAAAGCCAGACAGCACAATTCTGCAAGGAGGGCAGGGCAGGGCAGGGCAGAGGCCCAGCCATCAAAGTCAGAGCACCATGGGGCTGGGAGTCCAAAACCCCCAAATCCTCCCCACCACCAGATGAGGTCAGGAGGCCATAGGATTGTGCCTTTCATGGTGCAATCCTATGCATATTTAGGCAGAGGGAAGGTCCCACCAGCCCTTGCATGCACCAGCGCGCCATGGAGGCTGGAGCAGGCATTGTAGGACTTCTTTCAGTCTGAACATGCATGGGATTGCAACTTGATATTATGACATTGTCACACTACACAGATCTGCAGATGGAGGTAAAGAAGTCATGCATGGACTCACATGGCACTTAAACATGAAGTAGCATAGTCTAAAAGGGCCATACGACTCGGCTGAGACTGAACACAGGGTATACTGAAAATTGCTATCCCATTTTCATCACACTGAGTATCAGCACTGTGCATTGACAGCCTACAGAATTCAATATGGGCTGTCATGTATATTGCCAGAAGATTTGCCACACTCCAGGTGTTGCTAGTATATTAACTGTCATTTTTTAAAATGTTTATAGGGCGATGCGAACCTGTTGAATATGAAGAAACAGTGACTTACAAGGGGTGTGTTGCAAATGTCACTTTGACCCGCTGTGAAGGAATGTGTCCATCATCAGCAAAGTAAGACTCTCTCCAGCTGTTAAGGCTTTTGCCTAATATATGATTAAAAGGAATGTTAAGTAAATACTGCCAATATAGTTTAATTGCCATCAATACTGTCAATGTATTTTAATTAACGCTGATGTTGTATCCTGGCTGGGGAATGCTTGGAGTTCTAGGACTTTTTCTGTCTAAACGTGCACAGAATTGATTTATCTATTTAAAACGAGTAAACAGTTTTCCTCACCCTTAATGAAAGTTTTGGGTGACATCTACAGAATAAAACAACAGGTGCCAGGGGAACATCCTTAGAGAGGAAGTTCCGAGAATGGTGCAACACAGCCCCAGTACCCTCTATCTGGTTACCGCCCATTGACAGGGGGTGCAATTTAGTAGTTCACATCCTATCTGGAAGCTCTCAGTTATTCTAGTCATACTTTCTTGCTTTTGGTAGGAGTGCTATTGTTATGGGAGTCTCCATTCTTGTGGCTGACTCTTGACTGGTAGTTGCATTTTTAGGGTCATGGATTTGTCTGAGTTATAGCAAAAAGCTAGGGGTGTGAACCAACTGAGAATATTTCTGTTTCCTTTAAAGAACACAGGTGCTGCTTTGATTTATTTTCCACTCTAAGTTCCCCTTCATCCATGACTTTTCTTCAGCTCAAAGTTTCCATCTAGGGATAAACATGTACACAGATCATGTAAAAATGGAAAATTTCAATATCATAATGACTGATAAAAACACTTAGAAGCAATTATATGAGAAGTGTCACATGCATGAATGTTCTCCTGCACTTACTTTTAGAAATAACTCCTAACTTCTTAACATCTTAAATTTCCTACATGTAGAGCATTTTTTAGCCCCCAGAAAGAGCATTCAAACATGTGAAGTGGTCCGCTCCAAAAGAGGTTTACCATGTGGGATTGTGCAGTGAGCTTCTTAGTAAATCACATTGGAAGCTGAACATTTTATTTTGATTACAACCTTTTTTTAAAAGTAGGTCGGTACACATACATGCACAGAATATCTAAAAAAAATATCTTTTCTCTTTCACAGGCCGAACATTGACAATATGATGATACAAACAGAGTGTGGCTGCTGCATGCCAAAAACATACTACAGGAAGGAACTGGAAATGCCTTGTCCAGACCCAGAAAACCCACAGAAGCCACTGATTAAAGAAATCTTAATCTTTGGTGATTGTATATGCAACTTTAACGGATGTGCACACTAGCCAGATTACAAGGATGTCAATTGCTACTTGCCAAAGGGATGCTGAAAATAAACTATCAATCGCTGCTTACACTGCAAACAAAATCTGACAGTAGAAATCCTTTATTTGTATGAATTGCTCCAAATGTTGGGAAGAAAACTAAGACACTCTGCAAAAAGCTGTTACTGATCAATTGTCATATTAATTTATTCATTATTTTGGGCATCAGATGGCAAAAAATGTGTTTGCTTTATTTCACTAAAGCAATATCTACCTGAAAATTGTAAAATAGTTAATAGCTTTATTAAAGAGATTAGCTGCTTATCCTGATTTCTAATGGTGAGTGAGTGATTATCATAATCCAATTCATTCCTCAAATTTATATAACTCTTTGCAACTATATTATTGAAGTGGTAAGCATAATGAAAGCATCAACACTAAAATATGGCATCTACTAGCAGTGAATCCACTGTCATGATCTTTATGTAGCACAATCCATGTGCAAGAGGGCAATATCAGGAAGGGGTTCCCCAAGGTTTGCAGCAGAAGGAAAAACAGAAAATGAATTAAGGACAGGGGACCCAAATTAGTCCAGTGGGGACTTGAAAACCAGAAGGGACAGCAAATGGGATGAAACGTCTTGCAAAATGGCATGACTGGCTGGAATTCTGAACAGTAATATTCCACACTGTAAGGTTTAGGAGGTACTTGTTGGGATAGAATGTGGGACTACTGAAAACAAAGTGGTGTAGTGGTTAGGGTTAGTGTCCAGGACTACTGGACTGGGACTGAGGAGATCTGGGTTCTAGTCCTCACTCAACTAGGAGGCTCACTGGGTGACTTTGGGCCAGTCACGGCCTCTCTGCCTAACCTCCCTCACAGGGCTGTTGTTGTGAGATCAAAATGGAGAGGGATGAACCTTGTAAGCTGCCGTGGGTTCTTTACAGGAGAAAAAAAGGCAGGATATTAATACTATGCAATAATAAAAATAAACATAATACTGAAAGGTGGAGGAGATGGTGAATCCCTGAAGGCATCAAGGAGCTTCTCCCAGTACTGGTCAAGACAGGCACCTAATTTAAACACCTCTCATAGCCCCCACTGGCAGAAGGCAGTGAGAGATGTGCTCACTGATGATTTGCCTGTGCTGGGAGGAAACACTCATCCCAGGGCTGGATAAGAGTTTGGCTACCAGCGTGCCTGCATCCCCTCTGTAACTGGAGAACCTGGCAGGATTTTCCTGTGAACTGTTTGCTCATTAAACTGCAGACACCAGCAGTATCTTCCATGGTGGCTCCAGAGACTAGATAGGGAAATTTTGCAGGTCAGATTAGGCCTGCAGTCTAGAGGTTCCTGAACCCTGATCTTATTTTATTTATTTATTTATTTATTTATTTATTTATTTATTTATTTATTTATTAAAACATTTCTATGCCGCCCCATTCGCCGAAGCCTCGGGGTGGTTCACAACATTAAATTAAAATACAAACATTAAGTTATAACATTAAGTTAAAATGTTTGTAAAATGCAAGCATTAAGTTAAAATATAAAAAATAACAATATAAAATATATTCTCCATATAGTTCATAGAATTATAGAATAGTAGAGCTGAAAGGATCCAGAAGGCTGTTGGGTCCAACCCCCTGCTAGTGCAGGACACTAAGTTGCACCATCCCATTCAGATGACTCTCCAGATACTTTTTGAATGTCTCTGGTGAGGGTGAGTCTACAAGTTACCCAGGTAATAGGTTCCATTGTTGTACTGCTGAAAGTGAGGAAATTTTTCCTGGTGTCTAGCCTAAATCTGGTTTCTTTAATTTAAGTCCATTATTCCATGCCCTGCATTGTTGAATGAATGAGAAGAGAGCTCATCCTTCTTCTTTGTGACAGCCTTTCAGTTAATTGTAGAATGCTATTGTATCATCCCTCAGTTTTCTCTTCCTGAGGCTGAACATGCCCAGTTTTCAGTCTTTCCTCAAAAGGCTTTGCCTCCAGTCCCTGAATCATTCTGGTTGCCTTCTTCTGTACCCCTTCTAACTTTTCTGCATCTTTTTAAAACTTAAGTGCCCAGAAATGGACACAGTACTCCAGGTGAGGTCTGATTATAGGGGAACTAGTACTACATGTGATTTGGAAGTGATACTTCTGTTAATGCAGACCAAAATAGCATTTGCCCTTTTTTCAGCTGCATCACATTGTTGGCTCATATTTAACTTGTGATCTACAAGAACCCCAAGATCCTTCTCACTTGCATTACTGTTGAGCCAAGTATTTCCCGTTTTGTAGGGGTGCATTTGGTTGCTTGTACCTAAGTGGAGAACCTGGCATCTGTCCCTTTTGAATTTCACTCTATTCTTCTCTGCACACTTTTTAATTCCTTTGAACACAGAGAATGCTGTATAGCTTTAAGAGGCAAACATGAGAAAACTCAAGTCAAGAGCAGGAGAATAAATATTATTTTCAAGGCAAACAACTAAGGAGCCAGGTTGATGGTCATCAGACAAATATATAGAGTTAAAGAAGGTTGGGAGATTAACCAGGGAAAACAGAAACTATTTTAAATACCTGATTAGTGGGAAATAACATATGAAAGCACTCTATGACTATTAAAATGAGAAGATGTAAAAATAAAGCAGCTCATGAATTAAGCGGAGGAACTTGACTGGTATCATGTCATAGCTGAGAGCCAGTGTGGTATAAGGACTCAAGTGCTGGCCTTTGACTCAGCGAGATCCGAGTTCCACTTTCTGGGTGACCTTGGCTCACTCACAACCTACCTTACTCTCCTAACCTGCTCACTCAGCCTAACCTACCATACAGGTCTGTTGTAAGGATAAAATAGAGACAAGAAGGAGGACTATGGAATCTACTTTGGATTCCTTGCAGGAAAAGGGACAGGATATAAATTAATAAATAAAAAGATGGGCAGATCAGGCTAAGAAGCTTGGCCATATCCCTAAATTCAAAGGGCTTTGGTTTTAAGGCAGCTTGGTTTCAATATGATTGTATATATGGTCCCAGCACTTTATAAGAAAGGGCTTCGTGTTTACACAACTCTGGAGTTGCTTAACGCCCTTTTACTAAAAGCCATGCATTCTCCACAGCTTCCAGAGCTTTAGAGAAATGATTCAAAAGTAGCATCCACCAAAATAAATGCCATTTCTATGGTCTTTAATAGCTTGTTTCCCTTCCATTAGTTAAACCAAGCCAGAAATGCCATAAACTACAGGAATTGGTGTTACTGAAGCAACATTTAATTCATGCAGGGTGTTGTATTCCTAGAAAGCAGTAGTGTTTGAACACACGCTCACAGATTCAGACAGTATTTAACCACCTGAAAGTGGTCAGCTTCTCAAGAGTATCTAAAGAAGTCTAAGACTTGATTATCATGTTGGCCTTATTGCACCAACAGTGGACCCAGACCAGACATGGACAACCTTTTTTGCTGCTGAGAGCCACGTTCCCTTGGGGTGCACCGTAGCAATGGGAGAAGTAGAAGCCAGCAATGGCTGAGTTAGAGCCACAAACAGGCACAGATACCTCTTTTCTTTTTCTTTCTGCCATCCCCATCACTCTTACCTTCTTCCCATCCCATGGGCTGCTGGAGAAGGGAAACATCACTCTTGCTAGAGGTCTTGTAGAAGGCTTTTGAAATTAGGCTGGGGGATGCAGGTTACCCCGCCCTGGCCTAGACCTAAGTGAGAATTTTGAGAATGCTGGGAAGGAAGAATTTTCTGGCCTGAATAAAAGCAAGTTGATTGTGTTACCACTACAGCAAAATTACTGCTGCTCTGATATGCCTATGGTTGTTTGGGAGGCTGCCTGAGGTTGCCTTCAAAGGAGCCACTTCATAGAATAATGAAAGGAAACGCATCACAAAAGGCTGTCTATGATGTAAAAGCCACAGGGCCAACTGGGCATTAAACAAGATATATACATGTAATCTAGCATACATGACTATGATATGAGTGTGATGTAGTGGTTGGGCTGGGGCTAAGGATATCTAGTCCCCAGTCAGCCATGGGGCCAACTGAGTGATTTTGGCCCAGTCACAGATTCTCAGCCCAACCTACCTCACAGGGTTGCTGTTGTGAGGGTAAGATTGAGAGGAAGAGAATTCTGTAAGTTTCCTTCAGTCAGTTGGAGAGAAAAAGGTGGGATATAAATATAATAAGCAAACAAAATGTACTGTTATGAGGTATTTATAGTTCTATGCAACCACATACTTTGTCATGTAGTTAACACATGCATCTACTGTATTAATGATCTAGGAATAGGCCCATATTGGCCCAAAGGACCCAATCTTGAAGACAGAAATAGGTTTTCTCACCTTGCTGGATGACCTGTGCCAGGACCTGGAAAGGAAGACTATGTCCTGGTTGGTTCTGCTGGACCTCTGAGCAGCGAGATCTTTCTAAATCAGCTGGCTGACATTGGATTCTAGTTGCAATGTTTCCAATCATAATTGCTGATTTTACTCAGAAGATGTTGCTGGGAGGTATTGTTCAGCTTCATGGCCATTAGCTTATAGGCTAGCTGAGGGCTCTGTCTTGTGCCTAAGGTTTTTAACATTTACATGCAGCTGCTGCAGGAGGTCACCCAGAGTTCAGGAAATGGTCCTCATGATTATGTGATGGCACCCAGCTCTAGCTTCCTTTTCCAACTCATAGCACAGAGGCTGTGGGAATGCTGTCTGGATGCAGTGAGGAACCAGATGTAGACAAACAAAGGCACATCCCAGATAAAGTGGAGGTTTGGTTGCTCAGTAGTCACACCAACCAGAGACTGGGGGTTCTGCCTGTGGGGTGTTTATGGGGTGGAACCTCTTCTGAGGAACAAGCCCACAGCTCAGGGCTACTCTTGCATTTGCTATTATTCCTGGAGGTCAGGTAGCTACTCTGACCAGGAGTGCCTTTGCCTAGTTCTGGCCAGTGCAAGCTGTGCCCCTTCCTAGGGGAAATGGATCTGGCAACAATGAACCTTCCTTTAATTACCACATGTTAACTACTGCAGTCTGCTCTACCTGGGGCTACCTTGAACTGGCAAACTACAAGTGCAACACATGGTAGCCAGACTGTTTGGCATGTGCATCAAGGTACTGTATATCACTCATTCTCAACCAAATGCACTGACTTCCCCTTGCTCCTGAGCCCAGTTCAAGATTCTGGTTTTAATGTATAAATCCCCAAGTGCCTTTCTGCTAGGAAATCTGAAAGATGACTTCTTCCCACATAAACCTGCCTGTAATTTGAGATCTTGGTCAGAGGTCCACATGTCTGTCCCGTACCACCAAGTGGGGGGGGGTTTAGTTGTGGGGGGTCTGTAGGGCACCTCAGCTGCAGATCTCCCTTCCAAGAAAGTCAGTTTGGCCTCATCCTTGTTGAGTTTTAGACAGGAAGTAAAACTATTGTTTGGGGTATTTTTAAAAGAATGTTCTATTTTTGTTGTTGTTGTTATATTTATTGGATTTTATTGTACATTCCTTTGAGGGACATAGTTGCCAGATAAAAAAATATTTAAATACATATATAAATAATAAAATATAGGAGCTCTGCAGTCATACCTCTGTACACATGAAGAACTCTTTCTCTCAACAGATATGGCCCATATGGTCCCAAACACCATTCCAGCAAGTTTAAATTTGTTAAACAGAGAGGCTTGTATAAAGCACAATTATTCACATTCAAGTATAGAGGCCATGCAATTTCCTAACTGAAGGCACCACATTTACTTATTACATTTTTATACCGCCCTATAGACAAAAGGTCTCTGGGTGGTTAACATAAAATCAAATAAATAAATAAAAACACAAGAAGGGAATGCCTTCAAAGTGGATGATTTCTCTAAGTTTTAAAAAGAGGGAACTAATTTTTGATACATAACTTGGCTAGAATAAAATGAAAATCAGTCCAGATTTAATAATCACATTTTATTTTCTGAGAAAGCAGGGGTAAGGCTTTTAAAAGTACCCTAATTTATCTCCCCAAACTAGGCCTGTCACGTTCCATTTCTTTAAATCCTACCCTCATTTGCAGTTTAGTTTGGGACTCTACAATTCAATTTTACAATCAAAATGAACCATTTCATAGATATTTCACTCCTGTGGGTTACTTTATGGCTGTATAGATAAGATTGTCTCTGATACTTCTTCCAGTCAATAGGCAGAAATGGTTCATCAGCTACTTCCCTTATCTTACCTAATAGACAGCTTTAATATCGCCGGGGCGCAATCTTGGGCCTCTTCAGACAGAACAAAGGGCCTACAACTCCCAACATGCTCTAGGGCCAGGCAATGCCTATGCTAGCTGGAGCATGCTGGGAGTTGAAGGATTTATCTCTTTCCAAATTTCCACAGGATTGTCGGTATAATTACTTGATATTATATACATCCTAGATGCATCAGAACACATTGTTTGCCAAACTTACAAAAGTTCAGTTTTGGGCAAACTAATGTTGATACGGTTGTTATACAACCTGAGTTTTTGGGGGAAACCCTGGAACAAGAAGGCCTAGCACAGCCTTCCCCAACCTGGGGCCTTCAGAGTCATTTGGATCCCAATTCCCAGAATTTCCATCCAGCAGGGCCATTGACTGGGAATTCTGGGTGTTGTAGTCCAAACGTGTCTGGAAGGCAAAAGGTTGGGGAAAGGCTGGACAAGTGTATTGTTGAAACTGTGCAGCAACATCCCTTCCAACTATTAGGAAAAGCTACCCCATTTCTCCGCTTAAGACTTTAAAAAAATCCTGTTACAGCAGACAAAATTATCTCCAGTCTCATTATTATAGAGATGCCCTAGTGTTTCTGGTTTCCACCAATAAAGAAGTCTGTATGATTTGCACCGGATAGAGCCAATTCTGAGTCACAGAACGAAAGTTTTATATTTTCAAATATGGGAATCAAACTTCTGTGCTTGTCTTGTCTCCAGCAGTTCTAAGGGCAGCTCCAGAGAAATCTCTGAAACTATTGCATTACCTGCATGAGCCTCCTTTAAATGTCTGCAGACTCTTCCTAATGCCATCTCCATAATGGCTGTGCAGCCATGACTTCAATATCAAACTAGCCCCTGTCCACCCCCACCCCCGGATTTTATAAAATCTTTGCCTCATAAAGAAATTGAGAAAGCTTGCACACACTTTGACATCCTTTCAACTGAGGGTATTGCATCAATATGGGTTTTGGAATTTTAAATCCAATGCTTTTGTGACTCATCCCCTAAGTGAGCTGCTGAAAAATTTCCCTTTTGTCTACCCTATTAAATCACATGTTGTTGGTTAAAGCCCCTCACCACCAAGAAAGAGAAAAAGGATTTGGAGACCCAACATTCACCAGTAAAACAAATGGACAGAAATTAGAGTAGAGCAGACATCATATAGTGAAATATTAAAGCAGAACCTGTAACAAAATGTTGCTGTGTATCCCCCAACCAACCAAAACTTCGCATCAATGCTCCAGCCAGTCTGGAACAGGCTTCCTGCATATACTTTGGGCATAAGGACACGGCACCTTTCTTCCACTTCTTCCACCTCACAAGAGCATCCTCCATACATTGCTAGAGACCTTACGTTTAGGGCTGTTTGCCAGCCCCACATCTTAGCATTTTACTGCTATGTAGGATTACCATAGACTCCTGCGAGTCTATTGGACTGCAAAGAGATCAAACCAGTCAGTCTTAGAGAGCAACCTTTAGAGAAGGGGACAGCAGAGGATGAGGTAGCTAGATGGAGTCACTGGGGCAGTGGTTGTGGGCTTCAGTGGGTCGGGCACAACTTTGCAATTAAACAAAAGGATCGGCTATGCTTGTTAAATGGTACGTATTTTATGTTTTTTGTTTTGTGGATTTTTAAAAAGATTCTTACCAAATTACCAATGGAAGATTTTTCTGAAGTGTGTTATTGTTGAAGCTCTGGCCGTGTTGTGGAATATGGAGATGATCCAAACAATTATTGTTCCTGACTATCAGCGTGGCATTCAACCTATTCAGAATGTCAGAAGTGGCATTCAACCTACTCAGCCCAACCTTCCCCTAACTTATAGACCAAAAATTCTGAAGGGCAACAATTCTCATTGTCTGTCACTATCATCTGTGCTGGCAACGGCTGATAGTTGTTGTAGACTACCATTTTCGGAGAGCCACAAGTTGCCCACTTCTGACCTATCATGTTCATAGTTTGAGACACTTGCCACTAGAGCAGAATTTTCTGTGGCAGAGCCTCTTGCTACTTAGGTTATATGAGTAAGGAGTGGAGTCAGACACGTGCAGTCTGGCTTCCATGATCAGTGCTCCAGTAACCTCCCAATTCAATTACACCCATGTGCTATTTGAGGACCGGATCTAGAAGACCACTCAGAAACTCCAGTTATTACAAAATATAGCAGCTAGCATGCTGACTGGAACTGAGCATTAAGATCATATTGGGTCAATATTGAAACATCTTGATTGGCTCTCATTTCATTTCCAGTCCCAATGCAGAGTGTAGGTGTTAATGTAGTTTTCCAAGCTTGGGCTACCTCTTCTTGCATCTTCCCCCATTGATCATCCAAGTTCCTGTTCCATGTGCCCCCACATACAGGGATCTGGAGCCCGACAACTTCAGAAGGCTTCTTCTGTGGCAGCCCCCAAATTGTAGGTCCCTTCCTTAAGAGGCCCATCTGGCGCCTACATCAATGGACTGTCTTATGCCAAGCAAAGACCTCTGTGTGCTCTCAGTTCTTTAAGGTTTTGCTGCTTCTATTTTTAAGCCACTTATTCTGCTTTTTTAACTTATTAGTTATGTTATTAGATTTTTGTTTTTATTATATGTCTGAGAACTTTGGCTACAGCACAATGTAAATTCAATGAATAATAATTAGGACTTTGCAACTAAACAAAAAACAGAAAAATACATACTATATAAACATGCGGCTATCTTTACTCAAGTTCTTAAAACAATCCTTTTAAAAAGCTAATCCACCTTTCTATAGGAAAACACTGAGCTGTCAACGATTGCATTTTATAAAGGGTCATGTTTTATATTATTTGGGGGCAAAACCCTGGATATTTAGCTTATCAGCACAGACAATCCACTTTAAAGATTGTGGAGCACTATTCTGTCTCATTAGAGTCAGCCTGTTTTTGCAATGTTTTGAGCAATAAGCCTGCAAAAGATATGCGTTGTGCTTCTGCATAGGGATCAAGAGTGAAGCAAATCCTTCCATTCATATTGCTGCACTAAGCAAATAGAAGTGTTGCAGTACAGAAAAGAATATGGGTTGTATCACTAGGGAATTCAATTCTGCTCTTGGCAGCTAGAAAGATTATACCCAAGACCATGACTGAACCCTCTGGTTGGAAACTGATGATTTACTGCTGATTTGTAGCAATTGCTGTGGTTTTATTGTTTTATTTTTTTTAATTTTCTTTTTTATGTTTTAACTTTTGTTAGCTGTCCAGACAGCCTTGACTATTGGGTGGTATAAAAATGAAACAAACAGTACAGCAATCATTTTGCACAGATACTTGTTCAGGAAAGTACAAATTAGAAAGCCGCTTGATATTTTATATTATCTTTAAGAAAGATTTGAATCATGATGTAAAGTATGTAAACCAAAAGTAAACAGCTTCATCATGTGAACAGCCATTCTTGCACTACACATAAGCCATGAAATTAGAATACTGACACTTCTTAAAGAAGGGGCAAGGGAAATACACTTTTCTTCTACCTATTTATTTTTCCATTAAAGATAACATGATTAGATTTATGTATTTTCAAAATTTGTACAGTTATAATAATGGAAGTCCACAATATAAGCTCAAGATTTCTCTTTTTTACAGGTGAGATGACAACACATTACATACTGGAGTGTAGGCCTAGAAGTGCACAAAATTTTATCATCCTGTTCAGGTATTTTTCACATGTCAACAAAACAAATACTGTAGCTCAGTTACTAATACTGCTTTAGCAACAGAAACAGTTACTTGTGCTTGAGATGTAGAACGATACACAACTTTGGTAATCAAGGCATTTATCTCAATAAAGACAGATTTTTAAACATCTTATTTAAAACAATGCCTATATATTTCATATCAGAGGCAAAATAATTTGCATAAAGTATGTTTATCCTTATATACATTTAACCATTCAGCCATCTATTTAGAGTTCTCTGTCTTTGATGGATAAATCACATCTCTTCACCCAAAATTTACCAGTTAATAGTATGCAAAAAACAATATATTAATGTGGCACCAAACGGGCAAACCTCGCCACCACTTTCCAGTGGACAACCCTATATTAAAAATGGGGTGGCAGCTCTTCCCAACATCTGCTATATGACAGGACAAGCTTCTGATCTCATCTTTTGAAGGACTTAGTACCATTTGAAGAAATCACAGTACTACAACATGCCCATCCTAAATAATAAAAACTCCTAGAGTTTCCCCAGTGGTAAGAGAACACACTGTGTTATCATTCTAATTTTATTACTTGACCAGATGATATACCAAGTAGTTCCATTCAATGTGCTTCAGTATAAGTCACCACATTTGGCTGGAGAAGTTGGCAAAACCTGTTTACTTTGATTCTGATTGAACATCTAAACTCAAGGAAGCTTAATAAAATGACAGTTCCAGTCAGGGTGTGAAAGGTGGTCTGTGTATGTTTAAACAGCTAGTTAAGACATACTAAAAGATATTTTTGATCAGCCATACACAGTTCTCACTGCAGCTCATTTAAGATTTTTCTTATTTCATATATAACTGTAGTGACCACTTATTTTTAGAAGCCCTTCAGAGAGGAATAACTGAAGCCACAGTATGAAAAATTCTACTTAGGAGCTGCCAGCTTGCTTTTATATGACAGTGACAAACATTGTTCAGACCAACAGAGGTATACTACAGTTTTTGAAAATAAACTGATCAAGCTCTACACAAAAATGTCCTAGCGCATTTCGAGGGGGCTGTCCTTCATACTTGCAGACATACCCAGTTTATTTCAAATCTAAATAGACTGGATGTTCCATGATCAGAGCCGGCTAGCTGTCCACAAGATCTACAAAGTATTAAACATTAGAAACTTTGGAGTAGGGGTGGAGAGAATGTAGAAGCATAAATTCCCTGTGAAAGTGAGAATACTTTCAAGTGTAAGAATAACTCAAGTGATTTTTTTCAGTTATATATAGCCCAAGTGAACTGATGTTAAATTGCAGCAACCAGAGCTTTGGAGAAACCCTCTGCACCAAGGAACCCAACTTGTTTACCTTACTTTAGCGTTGACAAGACTCTTTGGTAGAATATGGCGCATGGAGAGCAGGGATTGGATGGATGGGTGGGATTTAAAGCTCTTCACAGCAAATTGTTTGAGATATTAAAGTATGAATAAGTGCTTAGGCCTCTAAAATGTTCTTTAGAGGACAAATGCCCTTCCATAGCCCTCTGCAAATAAGGAGACACCAGTGACATTCATTACAGCAGTAAGAAAGTAGTGCCTTTCGCACACACCATAAAAACTCCTCTTGCACACCTTTGTGAGAGCTGAGCCCTGTAAGTTTGATGAACAGAGCAGAGTAAAAAGATGGCTGGTGTCAACCCATTGAACAGAACTTTGCCGAACTCTGCTGGAGCAACAGAGCACTAGGGAAAAAAACATTGAAGCAGCATGTTTCCAGCAATTTACAGTGGCATTTCCAGTTTTAAAAAAGAGTTTCATTTAAATCAGTGTTAATCATATTGCAAGTAAATTTTAATAAAAGCAAGTTCTGCCAAAATATATGGAGCACAGCTGAGTCAAGACACACAAGACTTTCCAGCCTCTTAGCACAAGGAATCTAAGAGCCATATTCACAGTTAAGTAATTTTCTGTTACACATATATATATTTCACATAAACGGGTCAAGTCCTTTTAAGGCAGGGATGTGAAAGTGGTGGCAGTTATTTTTGCAGACACTGGTGTACAAGATGTTTCTGGAGCAGGACAAGGACAATGGTAAAAATGGAAGAATCAGAATTCTTGTGTTCTGGTTCAGAACTGTTCTGACAGCAAGTCACATAACCTCCGGGATACTGTTTCTTTACTTGTCCGTAGGGTTAACCTATACATCTGGAAGAGAACAGAAGAACACATTTTTCAAAGACCACTACAAAATGTTTTCAAGAAAAGGCAAACATTTATGCAAGTTAGATTTGAATGGAAGTGAACAGTTAGATATAATATAAAAGCACAAGACATTTGTGCAATGTTGATGTATTTATATTCTGGTTAATGCTCTGTTTGTGGTCTTTTCTTCACTGCCTTGAGATTCTCTCATTTGCCCAGCCTGGAATGTCTAAAGAGGTGATTTGCAGAAAGAAGTCTATTAGCTACTCAGAAGATCCAGTTTAATTTGCTAACCTGGAAAAAATAGAAGCTGTTTAGCAGCTGCATCTATTCTTCAGAATTCAAAATGCAGGCACATTTACCATTTAGCATTATTTGCCCTCCCTCCAAAAAGAACCTGCCCTGCTACATTTCTTATACTACAGAAAGCATATAGCTTTAAGGTGACAAGTGCTGTATTTTGACAGAATACACAAAATGTCCTTCAAGGCAGTTTCAGTACAATTTCCAACAACCAAGTTGACTTCCTTTTGCTCCTCAGCAAAAGCAGGAACAGGGAAATATGAAAAAAAATCAAGAACTTTCACTACGTCTTCACAAAAGCAGAAACGTTCCATCTGGAGAATGTGTCACTGGTTGCTGTTAATGTGGTGGTTAGAAATGAACTGAGTGAAAGGTGCTCATTCTCCCCCCCTCCCCCCAAGGCATGTGAATCAGATCTCCCTGTTTAGAGTTTTAGAATGTTCCAATCTAGATCTGCACATGTGCAGGACAATACATGCTGATGAATGCTATTTTTAGGGAAAAGACAGGAAATAACCTGAAATAGAGCCACAGTTAGGGACAAAGAGTTAGGAAAAAAACTCCTTTAATACTGAATTCATTTTCAAGCATTTATCAAGAAGCCACTACCTGGGCCTGTAGATTAGGTTCAAGACGCATCAAACATCCAATCTGGATTGATTTGGTGTGTATTATACCAGCTCCTACAAAGTTAGCAGGATTGGGATCTACTTCTTCCAGTAAAGCTGTGCCAAAGCCAATTATCTGTAAAAGAAAAGCCAAAATACTGGAACCAGGAACTTATAGACAAAATGAGATTTGGGCAAGGTATTGAGAGGAAAGAAGAAGAACAGAAAGTCTATGGTAGCTTTGATCACTGTGCTGAAGATACACTAAGTGAAAACACTGGCCAAAAACCTCTGCACAACCTCTCACAGTCTTTCTGGCATCCCAGGCTACCTGAAGTAATACAGAGCTAAACTGAGGCTTCACAGAGACACTGCAGGGGAATCTTCTGACTGTAGTGACAGTCCATCTGCAGAGTGCTGGTTCACACACAACACTGCCCAAAAATGTCTAACATGCAACTGGGAATGCTTTGAGAATTTGCCGTGTGTGCATCAGGACACAGTGGCTGGCTGCTGTGCAATGGATACCATGGCTCCTAGCTACGAGCAACACAAGCAGTTGGCAATGAGAAGGAAGTCTTTTTCAAGACTAGTTCCCTTTTTATATGTCGAGATATAAAATGCAGCAGTTTCCATTTTAGAGAAGTCACAAAAAAGCATTACAAACTAGAGCAATGGATGTCAGAGACTCTGCAAGTGCATGCAACTTGTGCGACAGCATGTAGCTTTCGATTCGGAAAGCCTGAATGGTGAAGCAATTTATCTCAACGCATATCCCTACCAGATCCAGTAAGTTATGGGTTTCCTTTACTTGCATTCTGATGTTTACTTTAAGGCATTGTTTCTTGGGAAGCATACTGAGCTCAGCATTCTGAACTGCTACCTCCCCCTTATTAAAAGCAGCCTATTAATAACTTTCTGCATCCCAGTTAATTGGAACACACATCTCCAAAAGGCAAGAAACAAAAGTCTTCAAACTTGCAAACTTTTTCAGTTGCACTTGTCAAAGAAGCTCAGCAACATGCATCGTAGATGAAATTATGAGTTACCTGCACTTACAATATGGATGGTGCATGTGACATTAGGCATCATATATGAGACGGTCCTCATGCAATTTCCGGGGAGTGGGTCCCTGCAGCTTGCCCCTCTCTTGGCTCATGCAGCTTCTCTGCACTGCACCCCAGGCCTTTTGCCTGCAGACATCTAGCATTTTATGCACAGAGGTGCATAACTCTATCCCTAACTCATGGACATGGACAGTGTGTGAAGGTGGTTCATAGGTAGGGGAAAACTCCAGAGGCCGTTCTTCAGAAGTCCCTGCCTTCAAGGGGCAAGGTGGGCAGTGACAGGAGAAAGAGCTCTCATTTGCGACTCCCAGTCAACAGAATGGCCTCTTTAGGGAGTTAATTCTGGACTCCTTATGCCCTTTTGGCATTGGGAAAGTTTTTAAAGAAACTGCCTGAACTGGGTTTAATTATGCTTTCTTTTGTGTCGATTCTTCTATTTCAGTGATAGCTTGATTAAACTTGCCTCTTCAGCTTCGTAGCCATGCTCTCCGACCGTGAAAGGCAGGAGGTTCACTTGATTCTTTTTGCTAAATTCTTTGAACTTTCAGAATGGCAGTTATAACGGACAGTGAAGACTTCTCACCCAACCCCCTTTTCCCCCCTTAACACCTCACCAGGGGAAGTTATTCCCCCACCCTGCAACAGCACCTCTGGAAACGTACGTACTACATTGTGGCATAGCATCTTTCATGGAGAAGCACAGTGGGGAAACATGGCCCCAGAAATTCCTGCGGGGTGCAGAAAGTGGTGGCAAAATGCTTTTAAAAAGGGGAGCGGGAGGAGAAGTTTTGCTGCTCACCACTACAACTGTAAACACCTGCAGAAGATTAAAGACTTTGGCAGCCAAACAAAACCTGCAGGTTTCTTCACCCTGCCTCTCACTTCTGTCCTCCACTATATCACTGCAAAAATGACCAAAAAAGATCCAAATGGAAACTTCAGCCCAGCATTCCTGTTTATGTGATTTCCAGTATGACTTATTTGACTGAGCTACTTTATTTGGTTTCCTTTTAAAACTCAGCTAAGATATTCATGGAACAGCAGCACTGAAGGACAAGATATAACTGCAAGTAAGATTAAAAGGTAAACACTTCTACTCACCTTTGCCTTTGTAATTTCTGTATCCATTGGATGGTTTGCTTTAAAGATGTTCTGCACTTCCTGTTGGGGGCTGTGTTGTAAGATCAAAGTTGCAGCAGTTAGCATTTGATATACTTTTGCAGCACACAAACACACATGGGAGTTACGTGACATTTCAGCATTAGGTCATACACAGACATACATACCCAATCAGGACTTATTTTTATTTGTTTATATTTCGATTTATATCCTGCCTTTTTCCTCAACATCTCCTCCATCGTATCCCCACAACAACAACCCTGTGACGTAGGTTGGGCCGAGAGTCTGTGACTGGCCCAAAGTCACCCAGTTGGCTCCATGGCTGAGCGGGGACTAGAACCCAGATCCTCTGAGTCCCAGTCCCATGCTCTTAACCACTACACCACACTGGCTCTCACTGACTTGAAGCAGCCAGCATTCCCCCGGCTTTCCACAAAGCAACTGGCCAACTAGTGGGTCAGATGCAGATTCTGCCATTTCTTTTGCCTCTCCTCCATGGTTCAAACTGGCTGCCCCAAAACTGATTTCATCAGTGTGTATTCATTTTGCCCCTCCCTGCTTTTTTTTTTTTTTTTTAAGAGGAGGAAACCCATACCCAATTTTAAAATGTTATAAAAATTATCTTGAAGGATCAGGGAAAGATATCATGGTTCCACATCAATGAACAGATCAGGATACTGCTGATGTCAAGGCTGGATTACTTTAACTTTCCTGGCTAACTTCCAGAGTGGGGTACTGTAATGCTGATGCACGAGGCAGCAATCTGGTCTCTGGAACCTGCTTTATTCCAGCCATATTACACTATATTCCACTGGTTTAATAACAGCCTCACTGGCTCTAAGTAATTTCTGGGCTTAAGTCGAAATGACCATTCTTACCTAGAATATTTGGAAGTATTTGTCCACAAAGTACCTGGACCATAATCTCCCCTCATTCCTTCCTGCCTACACACAGCATTCCAGGGAACTGCTAGGCGTCCCACCACTTTCAGAAGCTTGAAAGGCTGGGAAGCGAGACAGGGCCTTTTCTAGTGCAGCACCCAGACTATGGACCTCCTGGAATGACATGTTCTCTTAAGCTCTCAGTGTGCTGCTAATATTCTCTTGCTATTCTGTTGGTTTTTTGTGATGTTACTACCAGATGTTTTGGTAGTTTAGCAGTGCTCTTGGACTCAGCATTAACAGGAGAATCTCAAGTGGTAGCAGTGGCCAGGAGTGCATTTTACTAAATTAGGCTGGAATGTTACTGCAACTATCACTGCACTATCAAGGAAGGGCTGACTTCCCCTCAGTTATGCATAATCTGCCAGCATCAAGGCCGGACTCCCGTAATGCATTAAGTTGCATTAAGCTCTAGCTGTATTTTTTTCCCCTCTGGCTGGACAGGATTTTGTTAATTTTTTGCTGGCATTTATTGTATTCAGCTCTTACTACTGCCTTGCCCTTTTACTTCTTTTTTCCTTATGCAGACTGCCTACGAGGAGTGTACTCTAAGTTGTCCCTAAGATAATTGTAAATAAATGCATGCTTTTAGCTCTGTTTTCCAACTTCTTTTAAGCTGTCTCTTACAGGAGCCTGTTTTTAGTATTTCTGGATAGTTCATATTATTATAGAATCACCTTGATGTGTTTTAGAAATTTTGCAAGTCATTTTTAATTGTGGGCAACTTTATAATGTGGGGTAAAACTGTCTACAAAAATAATAATGTGCTACACTGACTTTTCCTGGTCCTCCCCTGCATTCTTGTTCAACCTTGCAGAGGCATTTTTATGTGGCTTCAGAGGAGTTTGATGGCTGCAATTGTTTGTGGCTGGAAACAGCCCTTGGAGGATCAAGTCAGGGACAGGTTTCAGAGGAGCACAGCAGCTAGAGGGCTTGAAGGAGCTGAATCCTCTTACTTGCTCAGTTGTTTCCACCGCTGAAAGAAGTCTTGGGAAGCCATTTCTGTAGGCTGGAAAAATTTGTTCAATGTGATGGGCAGCTTCACAGAGATGTTTTGCAAGGTCCCTCCATATCTGGAAATGACAAGTGTCAGCAAATTAAAGGAAAGGTCTTTTGACTAGTAGCCAACAGCTAATTAGAAAAATGTACAATTTTTTAAAAAGCTAAAAAGATATAGCTACAAGCAAATATGTTATTGAATCAAATGTAATGTTTTTGTCTATTTGCTTTTATTTCCTTCTGAAGGATGACCTTATTCGAATGCAAAATGCACATGTAAAGATCAAAAATTGTACCTGAACTGGATATTTAGAACTGGTGCTTCCACAAAGTCCGATATGCATTCAATATTTACAGTCTGCTGCACCTGAGCACCCCCTTCCACGGTAGTATCAACAGGTTTTGTTTGCAGATTCAGGCGTGACAGGTTAAGGAAAGAAACAGACTTTTTGGCAAGCCAACATTGGACAGTTTTGTCAAAACTGGGTTCTGTTGGGTTGGTTGACGAGCCACCCAAAATCCGTGAACTCTATTAGTGTTGTAGCTGGCATGTCAACCACCCCAGCAACATTTCCTCAGTGGGTTCACACATAAAGGGAAGCTGTAGCACCTCCATGAATATTTGACAAAGTTAGTACAGCTGCAATGAGGAGTCCTGCAATGATTCATCCATGGTGGCTTCTTGTTAAGTATGAATTCAGCTACAGTGTTCAGTCCACAAAAGGCACAAAATTCAGCCCAGTAATCTTCCATTTCTCCTGCTTCCCTGGCACTGCTGCAGCATGTAACCTTATTCTTACACTCAACAACAAAACATTATCTATTGTATTGGGAACATTATGTAACAAAGGATATCTGACTGAAGATCATCTGAACAGATTATTGTTGGAATAAAATTCAAAAATTGCGTTGAAGTCTTGTTACCGTAAAATATGAACATTCGACCTGGTAAGAAAAAAGGTAACACACTGATCATATGATTCAAGTTACCCCAAAGTCCATGGATAAATTTAAAAGGAATTAAATATGCTTTGGTGAATGCATTTGTACCATTTTTAGGCAGCTTTGGAAATGCTGTATGGAGGGATGAAGAGGCATGTATTATTGATGTGTCCAATGTATCTAGATTAATATGTCCTAGACATAAATACTGAGAAACAATGTAAATAATCCTAGAAACATATAAAACGTATAGCTATTAAAGTTGATAGAAATGGCTGGATTAGTCATCTTAGAAACAAAATAAAAAACGAACAGTCGTTCAGGCGCAGAGACTAATTCAGTCTCTTAGAAGGAATATGAACTAAGACTCATTTTTTACAGTGATCCAATATTCTCTAATTATCGTGCATTTGAAAAATCTTTTATTATTACGGAAATCTGGAAGGTGCCCATAATTGTTTGTTTATCATTACAAATGTGTATAGCACCTTCAGAGAAGACATTCTTGCTCCATGACCTTGTGATCTATAATTTGATATACAGAAGTCAGAAGGAGGAAGTGGGGGCAAAGATAAAAAGGGATATAATATGCATTAGTTTAGCGAGACATACTTAGATTTAGTTACAGTAAGACAGGGGTGGGCAACCAATGGCCCTCAGATATCTCCCCTGTGGTTCATAAGTGACTTGGACATCCATCCCAAGGTCTCCTCTCCTCCTCTCCCAAAACTGCCCCTTCTGGGGGTGAAAAAGGAGGTGGTGGTCATTTTTTCTGCTGCTCTAGCCCATCAAATCCTACTGTTTCTTTGGGAAGAATAACACTATTGAGAGAAAAGTCACAGAGCTAGAAGTCTACCAGCCTCAGATCACAGCAGACTCCCCCAACACACACCATTTGGCAGACATTGAGAACTATGGCAAATAACTGCCAAGACTCAGCCTTCTGTCTAGTGATAATGAACAAGCTCAAAACATGCCTACCTGAAGCTAACCTAGATAGCTCCACTACGCAAGACAAGGTAGAATGCTGACACCTGACAAATCAGTCAGAGTATGGCCCAGAGTATGGTCTGAAGGCACATAAGGCATCCACCATGTTGAAGCTAAGCAGGTCTGAGCTGGCCTGAGCATGGAAGGGAGACCACCTGAGAACTTCATGTAGCCACCTTGAGTTCCACAAAGGGAGAAAGGTGGAATATAAATATAATAAATAAATAAATTGGGATAATTAATACAGGACAAAACAAGATTGCATTCTTGCTTGATTCCAGCAAAAAAACAAAAAGCAAAAACAAAACCTTGAAGAAACTGCTCAAATTAAATGTCACGAAAAGCATCCCATATAGAATATTACCAAGTACCCAACTATAAAACATGCATTCCTAACCCTGCTGAGCACGGGTCCTCAAACTACAGCCCGCAGGCTGCATCCGGTCCGCCATAGAGGTTTTGGACTTGCCACACACGCAGCGGCAGCTTGCTCAAAAGGAGATTGTTTTCTCCGAGCGAGTCCAAAAATATCTCTGCATGAGCAAGCTGGTGCCTCGCCGTGCGGCAGCTTGCTCGCAAGATCATTTTGGACTCACTCAGAGAAAACGATCTCCGCACGCACCTGCCCCTGCTTCATCCTGCACATCCCCTGCCCCGGCCGGACCGGCACCCCCTGCCCACACCGCCTTGGCAGCCTGCACCCATCACCGGCACCTTTCAAATGGCCCCCTGTTGAAAAAGTTTGAGGACCCCTGCTTTACAGAAACCCAGCTAGTAAACAGATGCTAGAAGTGGAAGCTATTAATTGCCTCTCCTCTGCAATTTTAGAAGAGTAATCTCAGAGTGTCCCACACAATATATCATCTATAATATAATATAACATAACATAACATAACATAACATAACATAACATAATATATATCTTCACAGTGAAGAGCATAATAGGATAGTTATTTTGCGCAAATACCCTGGAAGGTCACTTAAATGGAATTTAGAATATTTTCTGATGGACATAAATCAGTCAGTGAAAGAGTCAGTGGCTATGCTTTCTTGCAAGATGATTCTTTCACCCACCTTGTCAGTATTTGTTTTCTAGGTTGTGTTTTTAATCATGTGGGTGTTTTAAGAATGGCAGGGAGGGGTTATCCTCTCCTAGTTGTACTGTTCTTATGGGTCTGTGACTATATAATAAATACTGATTGAAGAATGTCTGAGTAGAAGATGCCTGTGACATCCTGGCCATCAGTAAGATGCATGAAGGCAATGTGTTTCATCACCAAGAGGGTGATGGGTTGAAGCAGAAGATGCATGCTAAAGCAAACAGTTGCCCTCCAGATACTGAATTCCAACTCCCTTCAGCCCCAACCAGCATGATGGTCAGAAATGACCGGAGTTCTAGCAGATAACATATAGAAGGTTTTATGCTCCCAGCCCTGGCCTAACCCATTTGGAGGATATTTATTTATTCATTTATTTATTCACATATTTATATGATACCTATAACTGCCAGAACAGCCTCCCTAGGCAGCTCTCACAATATTCAGATGAATCATGGAGGGAAGCTGTTTAGATGCCCAAAAACAAGATGAACTGTGCTGGATCAGACCAAGGGTTCATCTAGTTCAGAATTCTGTTCACACAGTGGCCAACCAGCTGCCCACAGGATCCCACGAAAAGGACCCAAGGACTTCTCCTGCTCAAGTTCTGCAGATAGGCATACAGTCTCTTGCTGCTGGAGGTAGCATTTAGCCATCGGGATTAGAAGCTGTTGGTAGCCTTTTCTTCCATGAATTTCCCCAATTCCTTTTAATCTGGTGGCCATCACCACATCCCATGAAAGTGAATTCAATAGTTTAACTATGTGCTGTGTGAAAAGTATTTTTTTAATCTGTCCTGGATCTCCTACCAATCAGCTTCATGGTTCTAGCATTATGGCAAAGGGATAAACCTGTCTCCCTCTCCACTTTATACCATACCTAAATCTGTACAGCACTATCATATCCCCCCTTTACACGTCTCTTTTCTAAGCTGAACAATTTCAGCTGTTATACCCTTCCCTCATAGAAGAGTTGCTCCAACCCCTTGGTCATCAAACTTGCCATTTTCTACACTTTTCCCCAAGAAGTTTGCTTTTGGTATAGGGAATATCCACAGATCTTTCATTGGAGACCTGAATATGACATTTCTTTAAAACATTGGAACCTAATAATAAAATGAGGTTTATTATGTTAAATGATGTCCTTACCCAAGTTTTGTCGAAATTCAGATTTCAGACCAATCTGTAGTAACTGATTCTCAAACAAAACTCCATTGTTTTTGCAAACAAACCTAGAAAAAGAGGAGTAGTCACACCATACAAATTATGGGTACACATTATACCTTATGGAAGGAGCAGATAGACACAATATTAAAACAGATCAGTATAAAAGCAGGAATCAAGACAGAGTATAAAAAAAATAAAAGCTGTAGACCAAATAATCTTTGCAACCTATTCATTATTCCTTAACAATTCAAATTGTCCTAGCCTTGTAAAAACAGAGGAAGGAAAATTAGGATGCCACACAACACAACTTACACACATGCCTTGAGGACTGGGCAACTGGAAGGTTCTTCAAACTAGAACTTCATTACAAAAGAATGGAGGTGTACCATATGGGACACCAAATTCCTCATGATTCTTATACACACCTAATTGTTTGCAATCATATTCTCCCACCATTCTAGGTATTACCCCTTTGCCAGACTGGGCTTGGCATGGTAGTTTTCTGATCTGTCCTTGTTTAAGGTATTACCTCCCAACACAAAATTCAGACTGCAATACATTTCAGGTTGTGGTTGTCCAAAGCAAAGATTTATTAACATTTGGGCACACAGGTATAGGGAAGCTATATGGTTAAGACTAACAGGAGAATCAGTAGGTGTGGTAGACTGAACATTGGTCATGGATCTTGAAGGGCTACTATGGGGCCATGAACAAGGCATGCAGCCTTAATTCCCACCTGTAAAATAGACAAGTGGCTTAATTCGCAGGACTGTTGAGAGGACAGGCACTACATAAAGCTGTATTATAATCTGCCCTATAAGTAATGGCTGTCATAATCAATATATTAGTAAAGATGGAATGACTGGACAGTTTTCTTCTCTTTTTTCTCTTTTTTAAGGCAATTTTGCCATATATGGTCCTGCAAAAGCCAAAGTAACATATTTGCTTCTATAGGACACCCATCAATGGTACAGAGGTCGTGAAAGATAGAGACCACAACTCTGCTGTATGACCATAGTAACAGAATATTATACAGTGAATTCACAAATGCCATCATATCGCATGACTGTTTAGTAACTGGTGATGTGAACGGACCATGCTGCAAATAATTGTATTTGAATCGGTACTAATGGTTTCTGTGGTACCTGATCTCCGGTGGCTATTTTATCCTTGCAAGCAACTACTTGATTCTGCAATCAAGTGATTAACATGCATGTGTGAATCAGCCCTCCTTTGTAAGAACTGATAATGAACAAATTCTGGTTATTTATTCCGTGATGACTGAGGTCAGCAGTGCATTCAGAAGCCCCAGCAGTTCTATAGCCATCCATGTAAGCAACCAACCACTTCAAGCTTGCATTGCCAGTGATTCTAATGTCTTCCTACCTCCTTTAAAAAAAACACCCACATGGTCGTAACTGAGCATTCATATACAGGCAACCCTTTCCACAATCTATAGTCAACTTATGAACATTGTTTCCTTGTTAATGAAAAGAGAGAGTCACATTTCCATTACATTCACTGCCCTTCCAGGTTTAGGTTAAACAATTGTATAAAGACACTGGAAGACAACTGGCCTACCTATAATTATTTCATGTATATTTTATCATGCCTTCTCTGAGGCAGTTGCTGCTTATTCTGACTCAAGTACTGACATATATATCAGTTGAGATGTCTTTTGTGGATGCCATTTGTTTAAGGATAGGAAAAAGTATAGCAGATGCCCAGTCCTGCAAGGTTGTAGTATTGCTTACTTGTGAAAAAGCTCATCAGCATCATGCACAGCATCAGCTGGTTCTTCAGAAACTACCTGCTCACTTGAAGCCAAGTCAGGACTAAATTGAAGCAGCACAAAGAAAGGAGGCAGCACAGAGAGAGAGAGTGGGGGTTAGTTAGTAGGAAATATAGAGGGGGGAAATCTCTCCTCCTACTTGGTTAAATACAAGCATTTTTAGGATGTATGAGCCCATAGATCTGTTTTTCCCAACACCTTATGCTCTCAAGATGGTTTAGCTGACATCTTCCAGCTTTCCTCATCAGCAATCAAGTTGACTGGCTGATAAGCATTTTAGGGGAGGTGCCAAGTTGGGGAAGGAGGCACTAAATGTTAAACCTTTCACTCAATTCCCCACCAGTATGACACGTTGTGTTCTGGTTCATACAGCATTACAAGCCAAAGTATGGGTTGAGTATAGTTTGCTGTTGAATCATGAGTTGTGTACTGTGTACCCAACCAGAGTAACAAGCCATTATATGTCGGTCCACACTTAACTATTCACTACCCAACAACAATCCATGGTTATCTTTGAGGGTTGTTTGCGATGAACAAGCCATGCATTGTCTGGCTTGTCATGTTGTTTTGCCCAAATTGCTGAGTACAAAGAAACTTAGGAGATAGGAGAGGTCTTACATGATTCCAATTGCCCTAATCCTCAATACTGAATAACTCAATTCTTAAATGTGATATTCTCAATATCAAATAGCTCAGTTCTTAAAGAATATCCTCAAGATTGTTCAGTGTGTCACAACACTACACTACAACACTACAGGGCTCATTGGCCTTATGGCCAAAGATTGTGGTATCTGTATTTATGAATTTTAAATATTTATACCCCATCTTGAAAACATAACAATTCTACTGTGTCAAGAATTTTCTGAGAATCAATAAGCCAAGTGCAGAGCTTTAAGTAGCCACTTACTGAATGAAAAGACCTGTCTAGAGATATTTCACAAAGCTACCTGAGCAGCCACCATGAAGAAAGGATGTCATTAGTAGATTTAAAAAGAGAAAGGTGTCATACTCTGACTAGCAAGAGTAGAGAGTCCAAGAAATAGCACCAGGTAGAGATTCTAAGCAACCTTATGTTAGACTGAGAGTTAGCAAAGCCAGATTCCCCACAGCTGTTTCATTTACCTGGCACTTTCAATCAATGGCAAAGCATGAAGCCTGGAAGGCATATAACATATGACACCACCATACTGAGCAAGGGAAGAACACTCCTATGATCAAGCCAAATTAAGTGACTTTAACCTTATATGCTGGAAAATCAGATTAGAACATATTTTGACTTTGTATGGTACATATGCAGTAACTAAATACACACACATGGTTATATAATACATGGTTGAATACTTACGGCTCTTCAATTAGGAGCCCTTATTGCTAGATGATGATAAGCTTATGACGGAGCTGGACCTCTCTATAAGGCAAATGACATTCCACTGCCAGTTCACCCTGTGAATAAGGGGTGTCTTCCTATACATACAGAAGTTGTATATACAGTTCCTATACATACATACAGCATAGCCAAGTAAGCAGTATTTAAGATGACACAGCAACATGTTTGCTCCCTTGGTACAACATGAAAGGCCTGTATCAGAAAGTGGCCTAGAAAGGGAAAGTGGGGAAAAGTTCCCTCAGCTCCTATGATTCACTAATTTATTATGTACCTTGCAAAGTTATCTTCAGAACATGGAGCAAGAGATGCTGGAGCAGCAGAAGCATCTGAAAATACATCCACCAACAAGCTACCAGAAGACGTCTGGGGTGCAACAGAGTTTGCAGCTGGGGCTGCACAAAGGCCTAAAAGGTCTGCTGAAGGAGATGGGGTGGACTGTAAGAGAAAAGGAATATTTTACAATTAAATATGATTGCAATAAAATGCAAACTAAGCCAGCCAGTCACTCTCAGCCTAACCTATCTCACAGGACTGCTGTGAGGATAGAATGGATTGGAGGAGGACTATGTAAGTTGCCTTCAGTTTCTCACAAGAGGAAAATTGGGAGGATATAAATGTACGTAACTTAACAACAACAGGCACAAACACATGCTCCCACTCCCTTCAAGCTACCCAGATTGCAGAAGAAGCATTGCATGCTGCTCAGAGAAACATACCGCAGTACTGGCATTTGCAAGGGCAGCTTCAGTGCAGCCATTCACATCAGAATTTCGCTCCTTTTTTGTCTCTTCCAAATCAGTGACTGTGTTTGGGCCTTTCTTCTTCTTGAGCTTGGCCAGAATGGAAGACTCCCTTTCTGGAAATGGAGGCATTTCTTCTAGCACTGTTGCCTTTTCGGGAAAACAAGGCATTTGAGAGTACTTAGGACATCTCCACAATGACTTAGTGTAAACTATGCTGGCATTACTCTTTAAGTCATCTATGTGCTATATTCAGAAGTACATTGACCCCAAACCACCCACCATTCAAATGAATGACTAAGGCTATTATGAAAAATAAAAGCCAGGGCATCCTTGGACCCCAAAATCTTATTCACATTCATACATACCAAGATATCTATACTTGCAATTGTACTGAGCCGCAAGTACTCAACAGCTCTCTGCTGCAACTCAACATCGGCATTTTTCAGCTGACTATCACTGCGTAGTACATCTTGAATGGTGGTTTTTATCTCGGGAAATAGATTCACAAACTTGATATATGTAGACAGGAGTAGCGCCCTAGTTGGAACGCTACAGAGATGGAATTTTGAGTGCAGTAAGTTGAATTGTATCAGAGGACTGAGGGACAAAAAGATAAAACCAAGATTAGAACTTGGTAAATTCACCATGATTTGTTTGATGGGTGGTGGGAGGAAAAGAAGTACAATGTTAAGACCCACATTTTTCTCTTTTTTTACATAAGTTTGTATATGCTCATAGAAATAAATGCACAGGATGGATATGGATGTATGTGGGTGTGTGTACAAAAGAAAATACTGATTTCCAGCAATTTCATAAGCTTCAACATGCTCAGTGTTTGTACAGCACCCACCAGGAATCAAGCCCCTCATGACTGTCCTGCATGCAGCGTCCCTCTTTTGCCCATGCAATTTGTAGCCTATCTTGTGGCAGCCTTTGTCCAGTGTTTCTGAACTTCCTCTCAGCTTGGTTCACTTCAAAGGCAGGGCTGAGCATGAGGAGAAGTCCACAAACTTCCTCCCCATGAAATGGATTCCATGAAGCCACATCACAACATTACCCAGACCAATTTAAAACGGACTGCATCAATACTGTGCTGCACAGGGATTCCCTTGCCTCTGTTCAAGAGAGTCTTCTTACCTAGATCTAGGATCCCCAGCAATCAGATTTCCAAACTCTCCCAAGATATAGCCACCTACTTTTACCAAGTTCTCATGGCAGGCAGGAGCTTGAAGAGCCTGTTAAAAAGGTTATTTGGAAAGCATCAAAGAGTTGTTGGATCAGATGACTGTGTAGACAATCATAGCATTGATGAAGAATCATGGTTTTATATTTTGGCATACTGGTTGCCAGCTTGTTTCCAGATTAATTCTAAACGTTGGTATTTACTTTTAAAGACCCAAATGGCTTGAATCCAAGGTATATGAAGGTCCATCTTCTCCCATGCCAGCTTGTGCATGTAAGATCAAATATGCCCTACCTAAAGTGGGGCAAAAGAGGGGCAAAAGAGAGGGCCTTTGCAAAACAATACTATGGAACACCTTGTCCTATGAAGCTTGAGTTGCCCCTCTCTGGTGGTCTTCTAATAGCTAGTGAAGACTCTTTTTATTCCATTAGGCTTTTAGCTTGCCAGGCAGATGATGTTTTTGTCTCTGTGCCTGACTTTGTGTTTTGTTTGATAGTACTGTTTTGTTGTGCTACTGTGATTCCGTCTTCCTCAGTAATTCACGCGAATTAGGTAGGCAGGGTAAGATGCTATGTCAATAGCTCTCCATGGTAGCAGTTTACAGAAGGGAAAAATAGTTGCCTCAGAAAAGGAACAACAAATTTGATGAATCACAGTAAAATTTGCCACAAACTTTGTGCGTGTAAAACAAACTATATTGGACAGGTAGCATTAACAGACAACTGCAGCCCAGCCCCAGTGTGACAGGAGGTTCTATACTTTATAGTCAGACTCTGATTGGAAGTGACCTGGAAAATATGGAGCTTAGCTCAGTAGCAAGAAGCTTACAGCCTAAGAGTTTGACTATGTCTAATTAGTTGTTTAACAGGAAAGAAAATGGGCTGGCTACTTCAGGCCTACATAAATAAAATGATCAGTGCATGGAATGCTAAAAAAGGGAGGGTATCTTTGTCCATTTTCTCAGAGAAACTAGCAGAAGGGTACGGATGAGTTTCATCTAACTGCTAGTGGTTCAACTTCTACATCATGCTGAAAAGTTAACAGAAAGGGCAAGAAGTTTTTAGAGCTGTCAGGAAGGTTGGCATGTTAACTCAAAAGCCTGGAATAGAAAAGCCCTGTTTGGTGTAAGTTTTGTTTCTGAACGAAGATCCCCTAGTTCCTAACCCACGATCAGAAGGAGGATCAAAGCTCAAACCTTTGCTTTTGAGCTGATGGTGAGGCTAGAAGCCCTTGCTGGGAATGTCATTAATACCCACCATTTATTGTCTACAACATACCATTTTAACCCTTCAAGTTTAGGCTTTCCCTATGTCTGAGCTTTGAGAAACATTCTCAGTTGGTTTTAGTCTGTTTTATCCATATTATTTGCTCTCTGAATCATTAAGAACCTGCCATGGACGGTACTGCTATACTCTGCATAGATCCTAAATTCTTGTTTGTGATAGACCAGATGTCTTTGTTTCTGGCAGGCCAAACTTTTAGATTTTTCCATGCTTGACCAATGCAGCATAGAGGTACTAAAATGGGAGCTGTGCTCACTGATATCTGTCTGGGTTTAGTTGGACTTATTCTTGAACTGATGCCTTCTTGAACACTTGCATTTTAATAGAACTTGACCCATGTAGTGTTGAGGTACCAAAAATAAATGCATGGTTGGACTAGGTCACTGAATAACTGTTCTTTTTCTAGACACTTTGGTCTTTAATTGTCTGGGATGGGGTTACATCAAGAAACCCATGACCTGCATTCTGAACCTCAGAGACTGCAATAGAAAAGCCAAGATGTATGACTCCAACACAGGTTTAGTTATTATTTTGCCTGTCCTTTGAATACCATATTGAGTCCATAGTTAATTGCCATCATTTATATCATTTCTGGAGAGCTGCAACCTTTAAGCTTTTGCTGAGCAAACTAAGAAGCACTTCTGTGAAATCCAATTTGCCACCAATAACATTTCTCAATTCTCTGGTGTTTTATGTCTGCCTGCTAGGATTTGTTTGTGCTGTGAGATGGACACAAAACACAACACCAAGGGTAGAAGGAGAGCAATTAGTATACTAGAAATTTGTGGTATCTGCTACTTGAAAGGACCTGAGCACCAAGATCCTTTCTTTTCAGTTCAGGATGTAATATCCATATTGGTTCGTGACTGTTTCAGGGCTCCTGTTTTGCCTAGCAGCAATTACTTTTCTTAGGATTAACTAGTTATCTCACCAGTGGGGTACTTGGAACTGATCCACATTCTGCAGGAGCATGATAAGATCTCTGTTTTACCAGAGCTTTCTAGATGAAGTATGCCACTCCTAACACAACAAGATAAGCTTGCCTTGCTGCTAACAATTAATCTCCATCTGTCTCTATAATCCATGGTGGTACATTAGTACAAGTAAAAAGAAGTTTTCAAAGGTGAAAATTATTGTAAATTCTTATCTTCCTCTTCACTGGGGATACATAAAGAAACATTACAGCAGTTTTTATAACTGGAAAAAACGTTGGAAGTTATACCAAGACCATTTAATTTACTTTATAGTGTATTGTTCTGCTACAATTTGTTTTGTTTCTTTGTAAGCCATTCTGAGAGCTTTGACTGATGAGTGGCTAATAAGCATCTAAATATTACTTTGAGATTTGCCTTCCCCTACTTTCTACATCCTTAATTTGAAAGGTATTCTTCCCAGCCTAAATTTTACCTTGTGGAGTACTTTTACTATTAAAATGTTTCCATTCTTATTGATGTTGTGGTCTGTGTTATGATCCCTGGGCAAAAAGTAAAATGCAATTCTAAAAAATAAACAGTAGCTCTTCAATACCATGAGCAAAAAACCCCCTCAAGACTACCAGGAATGGCTCTGCTTCACTGCATGGGCTTTGTTTGTATGTATGTAGCATGCCAGCAGCAAATTTCACAGAGTGGGCCATCTTTACCCAAAAAGTTACTTTTATGTTTAGATCATAGTTACATTCTTTGGAGCGTAAAGAGGGTGCAGAACAACACTAATGCTCTCAAGTTCAAAGAAGCAGAAGTACTAGTTTGGAAGAAATCAACAGGTCACTGGCTTCAGATATACAACCTATCATCCTATTGCGCTACCTGCGTATGGGCCATGCCTGCACATGTGCGCACACACATCCTGCCCATCACACTTGCACCACACGCACAGTGCAGCAACAGCATGGTATGCTGATACTACAACTGACCTTAAAAGAAGGGACAGGGCACGGTTACAGATCAAATCATAGATCAGGTGGATGAAAAAAAAGAAACCAAATGATAAGCCATTACGATGTCCAAAGCAAATATGAGAGGAAATATAATCACCTGTCAACAAAGAACAGTGCTGTGAGCAGTTAAAGATCCATCTAGGCTAGACGTATTCTTTGCCATTTTACACTGTGGAAAGGGCCCCGAAACAATAATAGTGCCTCACCTCAAAGACAGTCTTTGCTGCATATCCCTGCACATCATCTCTGTTAATAACAATCTGAATGACTCTGTACCACACCTCTTCGCTGACATAGTCTCCAGCAATTCGAATCAAATTCAAGATGGTATCCACATACCAGGTGTAGTCCACTGCATATTTCTCAGCTAGAATTGCAACCTTCAGTACCTAAGCAAACAGAAGTATCACTACCTTGTAGTTATCTTCCTTCATACAATGGATTTCCACAATATTTAATATCCATACATTCAAAAAGTAAGGCAAATAGTAAAATAGAGCAGAATTTCTGCAAACCTGTTTCACCAAGTTAAACTAGTATAAGCAAGTGTTCTCTTTAGCATGGTTACCCAGTTTGCACATCATAACTATTCGTGTTTTCTTTGAATCATTGGTGGTTGTGGATAAGCAGGAGTGACCATGCATTTTAACCCCCACCCACTGAGTTAAGGAATCCAGGAATGCTCCATCCCTCATGTTGCCCAAATCTGGAACTGAGGGTTGTTGTGGTTGAACAAATCCAGGGTTATAACCCAGGAAGTTATACTTCTCTACCACTCGAGCCCCTGCTGTTGATTAAGGAATGCTGTCACAGTACCTATATAAAGAATATTTGTCATTGCTGGGCACATGCTGAAAGCAAGATTCACTGTGTTGAAAGCTAGGAGATGGGGAGATACTGCTGCTATCCTCCCGTAGGAGGATCAGTGCCCCCATCAGTCCCAGAAGCATTTCCTAAAAGCAAGTGCAGCCCCTCTCCAGTGCTGATTGCCATGAGTGAGTGCCATTGAAAGCAATGTGATTTACTTCTGAATGGGCATGCATTTTGGTTTGTTTTCCGCTAGCTGTTCCTTGAGGCAAGGGGACAAAAGGGAGCACTCCAAACATTGATTTTTCTAAGCGGAAGGGAGGTGGAAGCAGCATTGCATTTATTCTCATGTCTAATGGGCAAGTTAGAGAGAGAATGAGGCCATGGTGGGGGTGAGGGGGGTGAGAAAGCAACTGAAGGATCTCCTCAGAGCTGCTGTGGCTGATGCTTTGGCAAAGCCCAATAAGACATTTCCTCTTCCTTCATAGCCAACTGAAGGCACTCCCCTGGCCTCAGAACCGTGCCACAAGTTTAGCACACAATATAGATACACCAAGGGAAAACACAACAAATACAAAGGCTGTGATATAACTGGCCAGAAGAAATCTGGGACATAATGTCAGAAATAGCATGAGAAAGATGGTTGTGGGTGATTGCCCTGAGACAGACTAGTGAGTCAGGCATTACAATCTTGGTAAAAATGGCCAGTGTAGATCCAGCCAGAGCTGACTTTCTCCAGCTACCTGAGATTCTGAGTTTAGACACTGTAATCAACAAGCCAGGGACAGGGTACTTCTGGCTTGTTGAGCTTTGCTCAGGTGCAGCAAGAAAGACTGGGTGACAAAACAGCATGCTCACTTCTGCTTCACTCACAACTTGGGGTTGGAGAGGGGAAAACGGGTCATTGTGATGTAGGAACCAGGTCAGAACATCCAAAACAAATTTGTTCCCTGAAATAATAAAACAGAACTAAACATAATGTAGCTTTAGGAGTAACCATGCATGCAAGGTGTGTTTTGCTAGGATTAAGTTGAACAAAGAATTTAGAGATGTTGATATCATCTTTTTGTTTAAGTGCATGCAAACTCAATTGACATTTTTTCTTGATCTCCACCACCAGATGTTGGCAGTATCAGAGCTAGGCACTTTAATACAAATGAATGACAGAATAATTCTCAAGGCTGGATTTTTCCCTTTGTGACCATAGATACAGAGTGAGTCAGAAGGGTCCTCCAGGGCCATCTAGTCTGATCCCTGGCTCCAGCCGGTTCCACTCATGACATGCCTACCTTGTGCATGTGCAGCCTATCCTTGAACACCCTCACCAATGCGGCTTCAACCACCTGCCATGGAAGCCCATTCCATACCCTTGGGGTCTTAATTGTCAGGAAGTACTTCCTGGCATCCCAATTGAACCTTGGTTCCCTGAGCTTTGCTCCATTGGAGCGCGTCCTGCCTTCCTCTGCAGGGGAGAACAGGTCTCTACCCACCTCCATGCGACACCCCCTCACATACCTGTATGTCACCAACAGAACCCCGCAGAGTCTCTTCTTCTCCAGGCTGAAAAAACCCTGTTCCCTCAGTCTTGCCACATATGGCTTTCAAAGCTAGGCTACAATCCAGCCACCATCCTTGTGGCCCTATGCTGCACTGACTCTAACCTGGCTTTATCCTTCCTGTAATGTGGAGCCCAGAACTGAAGACAATATTCCAGTTACAGTTGCACCAGATTCATATAGAGTGCCAGTAATACATCTCTTGATCTAGAAGCCATGCTTCTGGCTATACAAGCAAGGGTGGCATTCACCCTCTTGACAGCCACATCAGACTGCTGACTCATGTTTAGCTGCAGTCAACCAGTACCCTGAGAACCCTTTCACAAGTGCTGTTCTCCAGGCACTTGTCCCCTAACCTGTACTTATGACACCCATTCCTACGCCCCATGTGCAAGACCTTGCACTTATCTGCATTGAACACCATCCTGTTAACTCCCGCCCACTTCCATACTCTGTCCAGATCCTTCTGGATCTGGGGTACCTGCTCCTCAGTTGTGGCCAATGCCCCCATTTTAGTATTGTCTGTGAATTTGATCAGCAGACTGGTCACCCCTTCTTCCAGGTCATTGATGAAAGGATTAAACAGGATCGGTCTCAGGACAGAGCTCTGGAGGACCCCGCTGGTCACTGGCCGCCATCCTGATGATTCCCCACTAATAGTTACCATTTCTCAACAATCTACACAATTCAGCTACTCCTTTGAATAGCTTCAGTTAAGCCAGGGTACAGTGCTTCAAAGCCCACCAAGCTATTGACAACCCTGTTTCTCAACTTTCTCAGCTTCACTTTCTTTGGTTACTGTAGCTGCCACAGAAATTAACAGAAAAAATCTCATTTAAATACAGGGATTACATTAGATTTTATACATGTAGCATGGAAAAAGGCTTTGCACTCTCAGATGGAATTGCTAAGGCAGCTCATTATTTGTCAAACTTACAATTTCTTCTCTAATAGAATAATCAGCAGTTTCCAGATAATTCAGCATTTCAGCCACAATTTGCTGGGCATTGCTTCGGTCGCACATGGCGTACAGAAGATCTACTGCTCTTTGTCGTACACTTACGTCTCTCTCTGTCTACAAAGAACAACATCACAATTAAAGGGTCAGCCTTAAACATAGGGTTTGGGGAGGGGGAAACACACACACAAACGGTCTCTGAGTTTTACAGCTAATGGTTGCAGTGACCACTCCAAGAGACTGAAAACTGAGGCATAAATTACATTCAGAATTACTTCCAGGCAGATTTGCTTTGAATTCTAGGGAGCATATAGCATCAAAAAGCTACTGAGCTTCAGTTCCATGAAATGTGTGAAAGGCAAGAATGTCACTGCAGACGAAGTTAAAAATTTCAAGTAGGGATGGAAAAAGAGCAGTGCTCAAGGCTTCCACTACTTGCTTTGTGCCCAAGTCCTATTCATGACTGCTGTCGATTTTGTACAAAAGGGTCACTTGCACAAAGTAAGCAGCAACTGAATACAAAATTGGTGCAGGTTTTTCTAACCTGGCACAAATTTCCTCCCTAGACTAAAGAAAGGCTGATTTAATCCTTGGGGTACATTTACACAAATCAAACACAAACACATCTGACAATGACTAACATTTCTGATGGACATGTGCTTTTGCCTGGAGTTGCAAACAGGACACATTTACAAGTTTTGTGAGCAAAACCCCCATATATCCCTATGACAGTGTACCATGGAATGGGGAGAGTTCATATAATTAAGCACATGGTAATTTCCCAAGCTGACTAGAAAGCATTCTGGACTACACAGGAGCACACTGGTATAGCATGAACCTCTGGGAAGTGGGGATTGTGGGAGGAAGAGGGAGCCTGATATAACAGAAACTGGGAAGGAGGGGAAGTTACCAAGTACGCCCAGTTCCGCTTCCTGATGAACACCTGCCCCCTCCCAAGACCACTGCTTATGAGCAATTGACATCTACTCTAGCGCTAGCCTGGTGTCCCAGAAATCTTTCTCCATATTCACAAGGCCCCCTACCTGACTCCCTTAAAAAATAAATAAAACCTTTCACGCAAAAAGTTGTTTTTCCTTAGGTACCCATGTAAGAAGAGTGCAGGCCCAAGCTTCCAACCATCTTTGTTTCCACAGAATGGAAGACAGGGACATTAAAAAAAAAGAAAGTGAGTGATATTAAAACAAACAAACAAACCGGCAGGGGGCCAGAGGCCTGCCTCTCTCTGCAGCACACCCAGACTCCTAGAGGTTACAATAGGGGGAGAGGAGAGACAGCAATGTCACCTGCTAATGGGTGTGTGTGTTTGCAGGGCAGTGCCAGAGTAAAATTGGTGGACGAAAGTGGAACAAGGAGAGATGGGAGAGAAAGAGTTGGCTGCTGAAAAGGAAGGGGGCTGCCATTGATGAAGTAAGTTTTGATTGGAGAAGAAATCTGCAGTTTCAAATAAGTGTTTGTGGGGCTTAGATACTGTCTCTACCTTGTATGCAGATTCCTGGGCAATCTACCTGTTTGCTAGTATCACCAGTTTGCCTTCTGTGAAGAGGTTTAGTGTGAATGGCCACATATCCCATGGCAGCCATTTTGTGAATGGACCCCACATGGAAGCCATACTGTAACTGCACCAATGATATTTTCTCTCTGGAAGCTCTTTAAACTGTTGAGTGCACATGCAAGAAAGAGAGGAGTGGGGGGGCATAAAAACATACATTCATACTGCACACCTATGCACTTGTGTGTGTACCCACACATGCACACTCACTCTAAAGATCTTCTGATGAAGCTTCCCGTTCTATAGCCTTTTATTGTTTGAACTCTTTGACTAATTAGCTTCTTTGCCTTCTAGGAATAGAGGTTAATGAATTTAAGAATCCAAATTTCAGATAATACACAGAACCAATAGTTACCTTCAATGCATTGATAACTGTTTCTATGTGTGTTTTCACGGCCTCGTGTGAAAACTCAGAGCTGGCAAGCGTGCACATGCTTTCCAGGGCTAGGTAGCGGAGATTAGTTTCCCGGTGCTGCAAGAACTGGCCTAACTGATTGCAGGCACGAACAAGCAGGTTTGGCTCACTAGGCAGAAGAGAGAGTGTGAAAAGATAAAAAGACAAAACTATTTGGAGGAGGGAGTGTATTAAGAGCATTAATAAGAGTGAATATCAAGAGAGCTCTTCACTACAGAAGCTTTAAAAATGCAGCTAATACTTTCTGCAGGATTAGTAATTATAAAGCTACACACTGAAGGAAGTAATTAAAATCCATTTAACAGGCTGAAAGCTTAATCAGCATCTTTGCAAGAGAGCATGTCATAAGGGCTGTGATCCAGCTAGGGCTGGTAACTCAAAGGTGGTCACAAGGGGATACTATAGGGAAGCCATGGTTACCAGCCCCACTGTTGCCTCACGTGGGAGGGCTGGACAGCCCGGTTACTGGCACAGGAAGTATGCCATTGTTCCTCTGGGGAGTTCAGATTTGATTCAGAAAGTAACTTTCCCACAAGATCTATGTTACTAGACCAGCGTGGGAAGTCACCCCAGGGGAGCAGCAGTTGTGCTACCCTTGCAATCTAAGAGCTAGGCCAAAACTACACAAATCAATGCCTGCAAGTAAGTACTGGCTGTATGTGGTATTTCATCACTTTTAACCACCGTCACCTATTTAACACATGCCTGTAATTCCATATAAAATTGCTGGCTACACTTGACTGTGCTTTTCCAGTTTTAGGCAGGTATTTAAAAACAGAAGGACAAGTCTTGGCCAAGGTTGATGATTTATGCCCTCTCAAGTAAAAGTGATTAAAGTGAAATATGATTTTTAAAAAATGTAGAGCATTTTTGAAGAGGAAAAGTACAGGTATGGAAAGAAAAAAATATAATTCACATTACTGATCATGTCTTCCTAAACCTTCCTGTTGTCTAATCTATCAAACTGGATTTTAGTCATTTAAAAAAGAAATGAATAGAACAAAGAGGATTCTCTGTAATTATCATGCTTTGTTTTTGCTCAAACACTGGCAGTATGATTGCACATAATTATATATACTGTATCATCAGTACACAAACTTGTTGTACTGCTTCAAAAATACATTTGGTACAATTCAACTGATGTTCAAGCCTTAAAGTATAACTGTCAGCTAAGTATTATGGAAGGTAAATTTACCTGTCATGGTGGATAATTAAACTAATGGCTTCAAAAAGTACTGCATTTTTTGCATTGGAATGCTGCACTTTCTTGGATTTTGGAGGTTCTTGAGCTTTGTTGAGAATAGTTTCGAGACACTCTGTGAGACGACCTCGTGCTGAAGGGTCTTCTGGGAGAAATAAAATAGTTAGGCAAATTCATTGGACAACTCTGACTGTCCTTACAATTAGCCAATGAGCTGCCGATTAAATGATCGGGACAACTACAATTAAGTGATTCATAGAATCATAGATGGCCTAGAAGGTCATTGGGTCCAACCCCCTGCTCAATGCAGGATTCAGTCTCCCATCCAGATTCTAACCAGAGCTGACTCTACTTAGCTTCCACAATTAGGCAGGATCAAGCACTTCAAGGATATATGGAAGCATTCATACAACTTCATGCTTATGTCTCCTGAATTTCATCTTGGTGGATTTAACCTCAAATTCCAGCCCTTCAGGAGTGTTTTCAATTTTCATTCAGTCTTCTGTAGGGTTAGCTATCCCTTCCAGCTTTGTGTCAGCTGCAAATATGGTCTGTCATGTTGTCTGAATCTAGTCATGTAATTCACCATGGTAAGTTTGGTCTTTAGAAACCATGATAAGCAACAGTTTAATCTATGGTTTCTCTGTACCACCATGGCTTGTTGTGCTGTCTGAACCCAGGATCATAGTTTCCACGGTTATGGCTTTTAACTACCACAGAGACCTCTGGAAAGAGTGGCAACTGCAGGAGCTGCTCCAGTCATCTAGCCTCTATGTGTGGACCAATGAAGAGAAGGCTGATGACATACGCAAGAAACAATGCATCCTGGGATTGAATTTCAGGTACAGGGGCTGATGGGATATATGCCAACAATGGGAGGACTGAGCAGGGAGAGTGGAGATCACAATATTGACCATTTGATTGTCAGGTAGATCATGGTTAAAATAAGTGAACCATGGTAACCAAGCAGAGTCGCTTGTTATGTTGCGTGAATACAGCTTCTGATTTATACATGCTATTTCCGTATAAATAGCATTTCTGTGCTACATAAGGAGAATGTGAAATCACCATGATTCTTCATTACTTTACCTGGAGGTGGATAACACTGCAGCAATCTTAGAAGCTTCACAGACAACCAAGGAGCAGGAACAAAGTAATAAGTATAGTCTTGAAGATCAGTTGATGCAGATGTCACAATCTTTAAAACAAAAGAATGTCTTTGATTTTCCTGTAACAGTTTTGTCAAGCCTAGGAAACCCAATTTCTGAACTTTAAAAACGCTAAAACACAGAGAACTGTCTGCACATACTGAAGAGGCCAACATGGGATTCTTGTATAAGGATAAAACAGAGGATGTCAGGAACACAGGGGCAAATAAGCAGCCACTAGGGAAATATAAGAGGGGATATGTTGCAGCAGGGATAAGCAACACGCTACCTGGGGAACTGGTGTTCCTTCAGACAACATTCTTTGCATCTGCCAAATCACTCTATGTTGCCCTCTATGTTTTACTATGATCCTTATCCAAGTAACACATTCCCTTATCAGTAGCTGGGATCACCCCAAAGCAAGTGAGGATTCTCAGTTGCTTCTATCTTCTTGCCCCATGAAGGCCCCAGGACCGCACATGGGGCTCAGATGCTTTTTTAGGACATAAACATAGCAGGTGGCTGCAAATTTTAATCTGAGGTGCTCCCGTTTTGTGGTTGGGTCCAGGGCAGTTTCCCATAGGCCTGTAGTAGAGATATCCCAAAACAAATATTTCAGGGGGAAATGCACATAAAGACTACATTATGTTAGAACCAAGGAACAATAGGCTACTTAGCATACAAGAGCTCAGTCACTCTCTAGTGCATACTTCAACTTCCTGTTTCAAAATTTAACTGGACAGGAAACTGACAAGTACAATAGACTAATTGTATTTATTCAAGTGAGCTGTATCCCACCTTTCCACCAAAAAAATGGAGCTCAAATCACTAATATGGCTGAGGAGAAAACAACCACTCAAAGGAAGAAGTGAAAGACTGGAGGAAAAACTCCACTGCTGTTCTGGGTTGTTTTGCTGCCTTTAAAAAAAGGAATATAGAAGCATCTGCTTTGGAAGACAGGATTCAGTAAACTAACTCAAGGCTCTTCTTATGTGTACAGAGATAAATGGGCCAGGATGGAAAGGAGAAAAGAGAAAGAGAAAAGAAACAGGAAAAGGACATTTGACCAAGGAAGATATTTTATTTATTTTTATTTATTTGGGTATTTTTATCCCACCCAATTATGTTGCCATCTCCATACATAGTTGTGCAGTTTTGAAGGTAGCAAGAATTGAGACTGGCAGTTTTAAATCAGAAGCCGCTGTGACATATTTACAAACTCAGCTGTACCAAGCCAGTGTACAGAGTCTGAATATGCCTTTTGTACTTCCTGCTTAGGAACAATGGATTCTCAATTACATCAAGCTTTTCTAGAAAGAGGCAAGGCAGGACTAAGGGGAAATAGTGGTAGGGGGGAAAACAGATACATCCTAAAAAGAAAACTATTTTTAAAGTACTAGTTTTAAAGGAGGGAATACTCATAAAGAAGGCCCAAAATGTTTTGCTGGTAAGGAAGAGGAAACAGCTTGTGAGAAAAAGTGGGACTAAATTTTACTGTGAAGTTAGGTGGAGGGAAGAGAGAAAGAAAGCAGTACCACAGCTAATGCTTTCAAACTGTTAGCCAACCATACACACATAGGACAAGATACAGAGCAAAAGCAAAATGATGCAGGTGTCCAAGGAAATCTCCAAGGACAAGCATGGCTGAACTGGTCCTGCCATTAAGCAGTGATTTGGTTACCTCGGCAGGCACCAGTGTCCATCATGCAAGCAGGCCACCACAGGGCCTGCTGGGATTGGGTGAGCAAGTGGCCAGAGGACAGAGTTGAGCTTGCCACACAGCCTGCCCCATGCCTTCTAAGTGACCCTGCAGCCTCAGGGACAATGGAGGACTTCCCATTGCCAATGTTTAAATAAGCTTCAGCTGCCAATCCAGTCAGCTGATATATTAAGTGGTGGGGAGAGTCACGGTGTTCTTCCCCCCAGGCAACCAAATTATTTCGACTGGTCCTGGCCGGCGTTCACTGTCAGTAGTTTGAAGTAGCAGTAATGGATGCCCCAGATCCAGATGCCCACTGTCAGATTCCACACTGTTGGAATTGGAAAGACAGCTTCTAGAACAAGACTTTGTAGCTCATAGGCACATCTGGGCAGGACCTGTGTTCCCTGGAGAGTTTAAGTACTATTTCCAGCAGAGAACTAGGCCATCATCAACCATCATCATCACCACCAGAACTACAGAAATACTGTCTTCTTAACAACCCTATAGTTGGCTCTTGACACCACAGTAACCGACCATTTCTTTACCTGTCCAGTTTGCAGACAAAACTGCTCAAATCGACCCTGTACAACAGGTATAAGCAGATGTGCAAATACATGTTTCTATACTTAACTGCAAAGGTAGTCTATTTAGAGGAAAACTACCAGGGGATTTTAGAGGCCAGATCAGAATAATGTTCATGTTGTTAAACAATACAGTAGTGCACCGGGGAATAATTTGTGAAGCAGTTAATGACCTGGTTTGCACATAATAGCAATCTGTGGGCTGCCGGGGTTGCACAGGAGCAAGCAAGAGGATATCTATGGATTGTCTACTGTATCAGAAACAAAGTGGAGGCAGCAAGCACTTGTGAGGCTGCACTCGTTACCACAACTTCCATTAGATTATTATCCCATGTGTGAAGCGGGTCATGAGGTCAGAAGGAAGGTCCACACTTGTTAAGAAAGAAATATTTGGCAGAGTGCAAAAGAAACCACAGGGCCTTGTTGGCAGATGATATCATTTTCTTCCAGCTACATCGACTAAGAGGTAGAATCTTTGCTTTCTTGGCTTTCTTCACTGTTGCTTCAAAAATCTTGCAATGGTTAGGCCCAGAGAAGCAGAAAGAATTTGAACCAAGCCTAGAGCATAAATAATGCTTCAAGAAGACATGTGATTCTTCAAGGCCCAGTGGTCTGGAGGTCTTTAGGAGTTTGGCTCATGCTAGAGCCCCATTACCAAGGGGGCAGAGGAAGGGTAATTGAGGCTAATCTGATAGTAATGTTCGCCCATTTATCTATGATCCATTCTTGTGACATTTACTGGATCCATCACAACCAGTGTTCCAGCAGAACAAGCAACAACCTAAACAGTTCTGCTGCTGGCATTCTCAAGAACAGAGTGGATGTGCTTGTACAGTTAAACCAGGACATGGTGTTTGAGAACCAGAAAGAGAGTGATGTATGCTTGTCTGTGAGATGCATTCTCTTAAGAACTTTCATTCCCAAATTCCTTGTGTATATGAGGGAGGTATCATGGGTAGAACAGACAAGGCATCATCAGGAATGCTTATGGCCAGTGGGACACTGACCTTCCATCTATGAACTACCTCCAGTTATCTTACTGCACAAAATTTACTGCAACTACGTAGCTTTCAGTGAAGGGTGCACAGTCCCATGGATCTTTCACACACTGCTAGTACTTGAAAAGTTTCAGCACACAAGCACTCCAACTGCAGGCATTCTACTACAGCACAAAACAATTTAACTACCTAGTTATTCCTCTGTTGGGAATGGACATGCAAGAGAAATTGCTTTCTGACAGATACCAGTTTGGATAGTTTTTAAAGGAAACTAGACAAATTCATGGAGAAGGAGGCTATCAATGGCTACTAGCCTTGCTGGCTGTGCGCTACCTCTGTTATCAGAGGTGGCCTGCCTGCATACACCAACTGCTGAAGAACTTGGCTGATCTTAGGAGAGTTAGCAAGCTTTGTAGAATTCTTATACAGCTGCATGTTATACTAAACAAAATAAGCAAAAAATGTAGGTTGTTCTGGGGTTTGGTAGGAAGTTCCTGTTAAGGCCGGTGCGTGATTTCAGAATGCAGAATATAGAATTTCAGAATAAAAATGAGAACAGATTTTAGAATACCATTGTATGGATGGGATGAGGTTGCATTATTGGTGCAAGAAAGGGCCAGCACTACAAGTTTCTATGAGAATCCAGGAATGATGCATGTGCACTGCATGCAAGCACCTGTCCATCATCTCTCACCCATCCAAGAGTAAATAAATGATTGGCCAGCTCAAGCCCAGTATTGCCATTGTGCTAGAGATCTTGGAGAGCAAGCCAAATCTGTGGTGAGTCAGATACCTTAATGTCCACTGTACATCAGTTGCACAAGCAGGTGATTGATCTAAGCACATGGCTCAATTGAGTTTGAGCCTAGATTCCAACCCTTACGTACAACCAACAGACTGCTTACCCTGCTGAGTCTGGAGACAGCCAGAGACACAGAAGTTTTAAATTCATCTGGATTCTTTTGTGCCAAAGTAGTGATCAAACTGGTAGCAGCAGTAACCACACCCTGAAAGAAAACAGGATTATAGTATTTCTCTAAAATCTATTCAATTTAGTAAATACATTTATTGTACACAAACAGCACCTTCAAGTCTTATGTTCATTGCCTTTTGTGTACAACACAATTGCAGTTTCTCTTTATGTATTCTCATGTATTCTCATGTCTAGGAAAAAAAGGAAAAGCAACAGATCATGCAGTCTGCTCTTTCCTCATCTCCTGCACTGCCATTCACCTACTCATGTATCAGAATACTTACAGGAATTGGATCTGAGCTACTAATAGTACCCATATGGCAGAAAGGGATTCCTGCTACGGTCAGGGGAGGGTGATTTGAAGCAGGAAAAACCTTGATTTGGGTGTGGGATAAGGATTCCCCTCTCTCCCACTGTCGCAGTCCCTATCAAGTCCCCCTCATGCTCCCATTGAAAAGGGGAGCTTATTCATAGATCTCCCACATCAACTACAGTTTGGTCTTTAGCCCTAGAGTTATGACAGAAGAAAATGAATTATTCTGCTCTTCCCCTCCTATAGAATGCTAACAAGAGATTTGGTTTCAGAGAAACTGAATTCATGTAGCAATTCATGAATTCAGTTATCTCATTGGATATATAACTGAAATACTACTGCATGTCTTATTTAGAAAGTTTGGTCATCCAGTTTCTCTTGTGCAGCTACCCGTCTTGTTTCTGGTTCTTGCCTTACATGAGGCAGTATGGCCCAAGATCTTTGCTGTCCTCATCATTATTGGCTTCTGGATACTATTTGTTTTGGGTAGTATGGGTGGAAGGAGAAGGGAGATGAAATAATGAAGAGGCACATGTTGATTTTTCATGAAATTGTAAGTTGGTCTCTAACAAATTTACTGCCCTAGTTGATAAGATTAAATAAATAGAAGTACAATGTGAGATCTTCCTTACACTACAGTCAAAATTCCAAGTAAAGCCAAGTGAAATCTCAAGTTTCTTAAGTAATGATTTTTTTTTTCAAAATCCCAGCATGAAGTGACTTTTTAGTATGTATTTTCAATGGTTCAGTTACTGGAATGTACAAGACTGTCCTGTATTCTGTACTGTGGTAATACATTCAAATATTAACCAAATCCTACCCCACCTAAAAAAATAACACCATTAGATATACACTCTTTGGTCTTTTTTGCAAAAATACAAAGCCAGCATGAGCAATCTTTCCTTAAGATTAATATTATTACACTTGCTTCTTGTAAGGAACCCAAGATGGATTACACAAACCTCCTCTTCATCTTATCCTCCCAACAATCCTGTATGGTAGGTTAGGCTGAGAGCAATCAACTAGCCCAAAGTCACTCAGTAAACTTCATTGCCAAACGGGGACTAGAACCAGAATCTTCTGAGACCCAGTCTAATCATTATGATAGTCAGACACTGGTATAACACAGAGAAGATAACATTTTCATGTGGGAAAAGCCCCTGAACAATCTTCAGACTGTGACACTGGATAAATCACCTCTTAGCTGTGGATTTATTGCCGAGGCATTCTGGCTATTTAATTTACAGCACTGTTGAACAGGCAAGGCTCTAAAACACTTTTCAAATTAGGAGTGCTATATAAAAGACCATTTCTCCTCATGGGCAAAAGGAGGCATCTTATCAGATGAAGTTTCACTGAACTTATAGTTCTGTATTGTCATATGGCAAATCTAAAACACCTTGACCTTATTTCTGCACCACAGGTGGTGGTACTGCAACAAATTAGTAGTAAGCTAGACAAGAATGGGAGAGCAGCTGGGCCTGCTCCCAATACCTCCTCTGCCTCTCCATAAGACTGCTGTGCTTCTGCCTTCCCTCAGGTGAGTAGCTGTCCAAACTGAGTCAGGTTCAACCTCAGCATGTTCCAATGACCCATGTCCAAACCAGACATAAGAAAAGCACTCTAGCAAACGGAAGTCTCAAGAGCACCTGAACACTGAGAAAGGAACGTTCAGCAGTGTTTTCCCCTGCTCCCAAGCAGGTTAGTCGAGCTATTTTACTCTGTTCGCTCTGAGTGAAATGAGGAAATGGGAAGTGAGAGTCAGCCCCCTGCAGGTTATCCATGGGGGTTGGCTTTTGCCTTCATTCCCAGTCTTCTCTCAGCCCCACAAGAACCAGTCATTCTATTGGTTCCTTTGGGACTAAGAAAAACCCCGAGATGGGACTTCAGATTGACTTATAATGTTCATCCAATTTCTTTTCATTTGTTTTCTTTTTAGACTAACTTTTGTAAATTCCAAGTTGCTGCAAGGAGAATTTTTCAGTTTTTAAATCTCTAGGCTAAATAATTACAGTGGCACAGCTCACACTCTGAGTGCAACTGCCCCTTCCCAGCATGTGCACATATGCCTGCCAACTTGAGGTGTCAGCTCTGGAATGTAAGTGGCAGGTATTCTCAACTAGAATATCCAGACCAAGGAGATGATGGTGATGGAGAACCTGGCAAGATGTCATCGGGCAAGAGGCAGAGGCAAGAACAGGCAAGGTCAAATACCAGCAAGGCATGGCAGGACCAGAGGTGAAGGCAGAGTCAGGAACATGAAGAAGCTAAGTGAAAACATTTACTTATTTATTTTTCAATTTATATCCTGCCTTTTTCCTACAAAGGGCTCAAGGCAGCTTACATCATTCTCCTCCTTCATCTTATCCCCACAACAACCACCCTGTGAGGTAGGTTGGGCTGAGAGTCTGTGACTGGCCCAAAGTCACCCAGTTGGCTCCATGGCTGAGCGGGGACTAGAACCCAGATCATCTGAGTCCCAGTCCCATGCGCTTAACCACTACACCACATAGTAGGCATGGCAGTAGTCCTCTATCAGGCACACAGAGCAACCACCATGAAGACCCATGTTGTTGTAGCAAAGCTGGGCTGCACTTTTATAGAGCCTCCTGTGGCCCCCAGCTGTTCTGCATGATTTTGCTTGTCCTAATCCTACAAGCACTTACAGATCTGATGCAGATCCTGCAAATGCTTACAGGATAGACCAAGATGTCTTCTCTATCAGGCCACCAGGGGGAGCTGCATTACTCTGCAGAACCTGATGTGAAGTTAACACTCCATGCATCTGATGAAGTGGGCAGCACCTGTGGAAGTGTCTATCCCAAACAACATGTTAGTCTTCAAGGTGTCACATGACTCTTATTACTTTTTATGCAACAGATTTAACATGGCTGCCTCTCTGGAAATTGCTCCCCCCCCCCCCCGTGGTTTTATATAATTGCTTTCTCAACAAATGTGATATTACACACAGTTTTAAGAGAAAAGTTCTCATCAGTGAAAAATTCAGCTGTGCTTACCAGATGCTGGTCATTAAGCAGGTGCACAACTCTTGATGTCCAGTCTCCCATAGGAACCAGATCAGGAGAAGTTCTATATAATCGCAGTAAGCACAGGGCTGCACTCTGCTTCACACTGTCCATGGTGTCACTGCAAGAGAAATAAAAGCTTGCTAGTACAGTTCAAATACTTAAAATAAACTGGAGAGAGTTTATGTGTGATTCACTCAAATAATAAGAAAATGAACGGCAGTCATGGGATTTCTCTTCGCTGACCCTTCCCTAACCTAGTGCCCTCAGACGCGCCGTGCAGATCATCCCCAGCCAGCATCAAGAGGGAACCAGGGTGGCAATGGCTGCCTTAACTGGTCCCAAGCCTTAGACTCTTCCGTTGTTCTGTTTTTAAGCCAGATTAATGCAAACCAAAACTGAAGTTAGAAATTTCACTGAAGCTTATTTTCTATTAAAGCCTTCATTATAGCTTTTAATACTTTGATGCTAGAAACAGGAAATGAATAAAATTTATTTGCACTGGAGGATTAGTGTTATATCCCACCAGTATACTGACTCCCACCAGCATAACCTATGAAGCTGCCTTATACAGAATTGGACCCCTGGACCACCTACCCCAGTGCTGCTTATTTTGATTAGAAGCTGCTATCCAGACTGCCAACCAGTTACCAGAAATCCCTTTATTTAATTATTTAATATCTGTACTGTCCAATAGCTGGAGCTCTTTGGCCAGTTAACAACACATAACCAGAGATTTGCTGAAACTGGAGGCATGCCCACAAGCCCTGGAAATGCCAGGGCTTGAGCCATAACTGAGCTAGAGGCCGTCCCCAAATGTACCTGAGTCAGTCTTCCCCTTGAGTGTGTTTACCTATTTGTTTTTAATAAAAATTAGCCAAACTCTCCAAGTGTAAACATTGACCTATAACAAAAAATCTGCTGAGATGAACAATTGCCCAGCATAGACATATGGGGAGTCTAATTTTATAAATATGCTATGAACTCTAAATCTGAATATGTTGACTGTCAGTGACAGAAAGGGGAAGAGGAAGAAGTTCCAGGTTTCGTATTTATGTGTCAGTAAAGTTGCTGGCAAAATTCCCAGTTATATCATGTTCTTCAGTGGTAGTTTCACCTACAGGAGAACGGGCTGGTCCACACGTGCGTAAGCAACAGCACCATGCTTGATGCTCTTCAAGTGCAAGGAGTGGTACGTGTACCACTTGTGCAGTTATGCATACGACTGCAACAACTCCAGAAAGGGCTGCCATGCTGATGGCAGCACACATAACCAGACACAAAGCATTCACACGGTCTCTTCCTGTCCAAAGCGATTCATAGACAGGGCATTTGGCAGGGTCACTGGCTGTGGGAATTCTCTTTTGAACTGACAGCATGGCTATCTGTATGCTAAACTGGACCAACAAAATCAAATGGGAATGATGCTGTCACCTATTCCAGCAATGCAAAAACCGTCTATCATGAAGCAGTCACACCTTCTAACGGTTGGTTCTCTCTCTAAAAGCTGCTTCAGTTGGTATGCTCAAGACCCAGTTTTTAATCATGGGTTGCTGAAAACGCAGCAGGAGTGAGAAAGCGTGCTGGTTCCAACACACACATCCACTCCCACTGTAAGGAATGTCTCGGGGTGAAGTGTATGGGAACCAGCTAACTCATTCCTACTGCATTTGCAACAACCCAAGGTTAACAATGTATGAGCCGGAGCACTACATTTAGATAAACATGTACTTACAGCGACACATGACGTGCATCGCAAGGGTTCTTTTGTGGCAGGAGAACAATTAGGTAGCATGTAGCAGCTATCTATGTAAAAACACTTATAAATATGCATTATATTATAGAATCATAGAATAGCAGGGTTGGAAGGGCCAATAAAGCTATTGGGCCATGGACCCTTCTCGATGCTTAATTATTAAACTAAAATACAGGTGGGAAGGTGCATGGAATAGCCTTTGTATCAACAACACCTCCACATTTTGGAAGTGCTGGTGTCCATAGCGCCTCAGTCGCTTAGCAGACTAATTCATCCACTGCTTTGCCATATATAAACATGCAGCAGTAACTTATATAAATGTAGCAACATAAGCATCTGCTTAAAACACACACATTTGGAACTCTTAAGATACTGAAAACAGTAAGCTAATGAAGGAAAGAAAAATAAGCATCCAGTCCAGGAATGTCAAATTAAGAAAACGTCCAGCAGCAAATAGGTCTTCAATCTTTCAAAATTCCAACCCGGAAGAGGACCAAAGGACTTAACCAGAGGAAGCGTTCTTTTAAAATGGGCACCACCATGGAGAAGAGTTTGGTTGCCTGGGGCAATTCCTATGCATGGAAGTGTTCAGGTATTTTGTTATGCCTCAAGAATCAACTCAATTGCTCTTCTGCACTTGATGTTTGAAATCCCTGTGCATTACTTACCCAGCTACAAGTATTTTTGGAATTTCTCCAGCAAATGCTTCTGCCATCTCTCTGCTGCCCACGTTGGCAATACAGTGCAGAGCCAGTCCCATGAAAGTTGGGTTGCGACTGGCCAAGTCATTCTTGATTGCATTGTTTATGAGACGTATCAACTCGCTGTTTGAATTCACAAGTACAGAGATGAATAAATAGCCCTGGAATTAAGAGTATTAGTAGTGTTAGGTGGAAAAAGTGACAATATGTAGTACTTGTGATGTAAAAAACTCATAAGATACTTCCCTTTCATCCCAAACCGACCTATTCCTATTCTATGTTCTTTTTCTCTGCAAGTCTTTTTCCAAAATATGGTCATGACACCTTTAGCCTAAACAGTGTTTGGTAAGGTGGCAGCCCAGCTGAAAACCAGAGCTACAGTGCAGCCTTCCCCAACCAGGTGCCCTCCAGATGTTTCCAGTGGGAGCTGAAGTCCAAAACATCTGGAGGGCACCAGGTTGGGGAAAACTGTTACAGAGAAAACCTCTCTCTCTGTTATGCACAAAACAAAAGCAATAAAGGAAGCATGGCTCCTTTATTCATGTGTTACAGTTCATCTAAGCATTCGATGGGAAGCAATACTTTCATCACAGCCATGTAGGAGCAAGACATATACTTACAATTTGCTTCTCTGTGTATTTGTTTGAACTTAGTAGATTCACAGCCTCCATGTGACCAAAATCAATATCATGCCCCAGGAGGAAGATGAAAAGCAGCTTGCAGACATACTTCTTCTTACTGTAGCCATCAAGGGCTTTATCACCTAATGAGCAATTAAAGGCAAAAAGAAAAAATCCATAAACCCAAAAACCACAACTCAAACAGCATATGCCCATGGCATGAGACTCAACAACTTATCACATTAAGTAAAAGCACTACTGAAACACTGCAAGACATCTACAAGATTGTCAAAACTTTTTTTCCAAGCTTCTGCCTGGAAAGCACCAACCTTGTTGAAGTTCAGCAGGTCTGTGACTGATCAGTGCCTGGACTACTTGGGAAGTCAATGCACATTGCTGGCAGTTAAAACATGGCAGAAGATGAAATATAAGTACAAACAACAAGCAAAAAAAGTCACGATTCATTTGGCTGCCCTCATCTAACAAAAACTAGGTAGAATGAGATCTTCAGCTATCCCCCAACATATTTTGCCAGCACTCTAAGTCTGTTACTGGGCCTACATTCAATTCAGTCTCTCAAGTTTACTCACCCCCTTGCAACTTTGTCTTAGTATTTTTGAACACCATCCCTTCTCTCAAAGACCTGATCCTACCAAACTTTGTCCACAACACAGGGAACTGTAAACATTTCAATTCCATCTTGCTGAGCCTTCCTCATCCCTGACAAAGATTTATCAAAGTATTCAGAAATCATGTGTATAAAATTAAACTGTAGATTCTAGGTATTCCCATACAGGTTCCAATCTTATATGGGATCTTGACTCATGTCAAAGAAAGGGCCCTAGAAAGAACTGGAGCCAAAGAAGTGGGATCTTGTTCACCCTTGTTTTGAAAAAATGGCTCTCCTATTCTGCGATTCGATTATATGATTCTATAAGTGAACCATCAGGTTTGCAGGCCAAAGGGTTTCTCCTCAACGAAGTAAGGAATTGTTGCCAGTGTCCTATCCAAAATACATATTAAATTACACATACAGGTGCACATGTTCATCTGCTTAACATCTTGCAGTCTTAAATAAGACTGACCCAAAATGGCATGTATCAATCTTGCCCCCTCCCACAAAAGACAAATCTCAAAGGCCTGTGAAGCAGATGAGTGAATCAGGGCCAGCAACACAAGCGCCATCTTAGACTTCCTGAGCCTGAATCACTTATATGCTTCAGCCACAAGACTATCACAGCCCTTGATGATGCAGCATCAGAATCTGCCAGTCAGTACATTTTTTAAGGAAAAAGGCAGCAGGCTGTTATGCAAGAACAGTGTCAGTAATTCAACTGCAGAGAAATGGAAACATGTTTGCCCTTTGGCAACTTTTCCTGTCAGGGAGACACAGAAGAGACCAGCCAATGTAGTTGGCTGCCTGAGCACAACATCCTTCTGGTTACATAGTGAGCAGATGGTGCAGTGGTGTGGACATGGCAGGAATTCCTTTTGGTCAGAATATCAGTTCTGGGCCTCTCCTTCCAGCTCCAAGTGAAAACTTTTTTTTATTTCACAGATGCTTTGCAAATTGATTAACATGGTTTTATTAGTCCTGATGCTGCCTTTCTGTGATCTTTTAATCGGCATTAAAGCATTTTAATAGTATCTTTTTTATTTCTTATTTTTAAAAATTCTGCTTTGTTTTTAAATTTTAATTGTTAGGTCGCTATATTTTTATTGTTTTATGGATTTTATCTTTTTAATTCATGTCCTGTTATTCTCTATTACTTATTGTAAGCAGCCCAGAGAACCTTGCAGGCTATGGGTGTGGCATATAAATGTAATAAATTGGGGGTGGGGCGTGGGCTTAACTCGCCGGACGGCTTAACTCGCTGGACATGGCTGGGGCCAGCGGCCGAAGGGAGACGGCCAAAGGGCGGCCACCACCGTTTGTGGCCATTCATGGCCGTGCGGGGGCTGGGCTGGCGAGGGGCTCTTTCGGTGGGTGGAATTTCATACTGGGGGTAGACGGGGAGTTTTTATATTGTTTTAACATTTTTATGGTATTTTAGCTTGTTTTTACAGATTCGTTCCTGGCCATGTCGACGGTTAGGTTACCTGGGGAGCGTGTGGCGCCGCCATTGGGGTGGCTTTGGGCAATGGACGTTACAGCGGTGGGGGTTTTATGTGTCCGTGTAGAAGAAGGAGGGACAGATGGCTGACACCTGTCCCTCCTTCTGGTTCTACCCCCAGCCAGAGGGTTCCAGGTAGTCTTGTCAACCGCCCCCCGGGCCTGACGGTGCTGCTGCTTAATGCCAGGTCGGTCCACAACAAATCATCCCTCATCCACGACCTGATTGTGGATGAGGGGGCCAACCTGGCTTGCATAATAGAGACCTGGGCAGGAGGGGGGGGATGTCGCCCTCTCTCAAATGTGCCCGCCTGGGTATCTAGTTCAGCACCATCCACGCCTGGAGGGGAGGGGAGGGGGGTTGCTTTGGTTTACTGAGCCTCCTTCTCCCTCATGGGGTTTCCGGTCCCTTGAGGCCGGGGCTAGAGTGCCTCTACTTGGTGTTGGGCGACCGAGACAGATTGGGGATTCTGTTGGTGTACCGTGCACCCTTCTGCCCAACAGACTCCCTGCCTGAGCTGATGGAGATAATCTCAGACCTGGTGTTGAGGACTCCCAGGATGTTGGTCCTGGGGGACTTCAATCTCCATGCCAAGACTGTTCTGACCAGGGCGGCTCAGGACTTCATGGCCTCCATGGCGGCCATGGGGCTGTCTCAACATGTCATAGGCCCGACCCATGAACGTGGACACACTCTGGACCTGGATTTCTCAACGAGGCAGGAAGAGGGTGGTCTGAGGGTGAGGAATTTGTGTCTAACACCCCTGTCATGGTCAGATCACTCCCTCGTGAGGTTTGTGCTTGAGAGCGACCTTTCCCTCTGTAAGGGTGCAGACCCGATTGTGTGGGTCTGCCCCCGGAGCCAGATGGATCCAGAAGGATTCCTGAAGGCCCTGGGGGAGTTTCCGGTTGACAAGACTGGTGCTCCTGTAGATGCTCTGGTTGTACTATGGAATGGGGAAATGACCAGGGCTATTGACACGATCACTCCCAAGCGTCCTCTCCCGCCAGGCAGAGCCCACTCTTCCCCTTGGTATACACCTGAATTGCGGGCGATGAAGCAGGCTGGGAGACGGCTAGAGCGTAGGTGGAGGAGATCACGGGATGAATCTGACCAAACACACTTAAGAGCCCATTATCAGGCCTATGCTGTGGTGGTGAGGGTGGCGAAAAAGAAATTCTTCTCCGTTTCCATTGCCTCCTCACAATGCCGTCCAGCGGAGCTTTTTCAGGTGGTACAAAGGCTGGTTCATCCTGGCCCAAAGAAAGATCCTGTATCACCCTCGAAGGCCCGCTGTGACGACTTTGCCAAGCATTTTAGGGAGAAAAATCGCTCAGATTCGTCACGAGCTGGACTCCACTAGTGACCCAGAGGCTTCTGGGGAGAAACCGTCTGGTCCAAAATTGATGGATGAGTATCAGTTATTGCGGCCTGATGATGTGGACCAGGTGCTTGGATGAGTACATCCCACTACCTGCCTATTGGACCCTTGCCCATCTTGGCTAATTAACAACGCCAAGCACGGGATAGGAACGTGGATCCTGGAAGTGGTTAACGCCTCTCTGAGGGACGGCCGGGTACCTGCCCCTTTAAAGGAGGCGGTAGTCTGACCGGTCCTGAAGAAGGCTTCCCTGGATCCAGAGATGGCCACTAGTTATAGACCAGTGGCCAACATCCCATTTTTGGGCAAGGTGTTGGAGCGGGTGGCGGCGGGACAACTCCAAGCACTCTTGGATGAAACTGATTATCTGGACCCATTTCAGTCCGGCTTCAGACCTGGGTACAGTACTGAATCTGCCTTGGTCGCCCTGTATGATGACCTGTGCAGGGAGAGAGACAGGGGGAGTGCGTCCCTGTTGGTTCTCCTGGACCTCTTAGCGGCTTTCGATACCATCAACCATGGTATTCTTCTGGATAGGCTAGCGGGATTGGGGGTTGGAGGCACTGCTTTGCAGTGGTTCCACTCCTATCTCAATGGCTGATTCCAGAAGGTGGTGCTGAGGGACTATG